TGGACACTTTGATAGGTAAATGGGTGAACTTGAGGCTATACTCATTAGTGAAATAACCAAGAGGTGTAAACATTAGTGTGAGACGCTGAAAGAAACATGTATATTCGTATAAAAATAGTTAAGGTAGTTATAGTGCTGATTTTTCTGAGTTCACTGAAGACAAAGATTCATGCTGGAATTGTCCAGACAACTGAATACAGATGTCTTGTGCTCTGGGTGAATGATTCGGGCATGACAATGTGCACTGTATGCACCATTGTTATCCTGATTGCCATGTTTTGAAATTTCTTGCTTTTTCTCCTTAAAATGGATTTGGAAATTTTAAAAAAGACACAGTGGCGTTTATACACAGTGGTGCACTGCTGTGCCGGGAGGAGGAGCTGTGTGTGTCTGGGGAAAATGGTTGCACTGTGAGACTGGTGTTCGCTGAAATAAACCAGACGCACGGCTGAAGGAGCTTGCGGTGTCTCCTATATGAAGAAACGGAAGAGCCGTGGAGAAGGGACAGGAAGTGGTGAGATCAGCCCTTTGCAGCTGGGAACGGGACCAAGAGACAGAAGCATGGAGGGGGAGCGGGGAGGGGGCCAAACAACAGCAAAAAATCCAGATGCATTGCACGTGCGTCCCCCTCCCCGAGGAATGTGACAGTCACCTCTGCAAAGGTGCCAGTCGGGTTGTGCAGTGTCTGTGATACAATGTCCAGGGCCTAATCGTATCAAACACTGAATAAAGAAATGGCTTGTCTTGGGCTGAAATTTCATCCTCTTATGAAACACGGAAATGGGCAGAAGATTTTAAAAACAGAAGCTGGAGAAAGCATAATCCTGACCCCTTTGCTGTGGACACCCGTGTACTGCAGGTCAGGGAGTTGACAGTGGACACAGAGGCCCCGGGAGGAGGGCTGTCCTGCAGAATCGGCCTCCGATCGCCACAGCACGGGAGCGAGCCAGTGTTAGCAGCCCGGCAGGAAGCCGAGGCAGCAGCTGCTCTGCTGGCAGTTAACCAGCCGTGCCTGGCTAACCGAGACGTGCGCCACCCAGCGCTGTGCTGACTGTGATCTGACTCCGACTCGGTGACAGGCGTGTGTGACTTTGGGGTGCGGGCAGCAGGACAAACGTGTGGAGAACCATGCAGCAGCCGACAGCCAGCCAACCCGGTCCAAGCTTCATGATGTACACAGTGCAAGGAAAACAGCGCATCTCGTAGAAAAAGAGCCGAGACCAGGAAGGGGCAACCACAGAGCCAGGACGGAGCTCGGCAGGCAGTGCTGGCCGAGCACGGCTTTGGGTACACGCCAGAGTCCTCTACAGCACTATCTAGGGAAGCTCTGCAAGGCCACTCCAGCAGATCAGCCGCAAAGGGTCTCAAGAAGAGCTCAGGGGCAGCCCACAGCCCCAGGTCACAGCTGCCGCTCCTTCTGGGCCTGCAGTTCAAAGATGGGAAGCAGGAAGACAAAACTGTTTGTTCCCTGTACACATGAAATAAGGCGGAGATGGCAGGATGGGGCCCAGATCAGAACAGGGCGGGTTGGAGCACTTACCCAGAGTGGGAAGGAGGTTTTGAAAGCTAAAGTGGAACCGTGTGTGTGGGAAGCGTTTCAAGGACGCCTTGCAGACTGCTAGAGGGGCGAAGGCTCCATTATCTAAGCCCCAGTGTCTCACTTAAGTCTGACTTTGGGCTGAGCGTGGTCTACTTGGAAACCAACTGCTGAGAGAGTCCTGTTGTTAAGACGGGACAGGCCAGACAGCTCAATCACCTAATCACAGCCACAGGGAGCGCAGATGGACCCGGTTACACTTTGGTAAAGAGCATGGGGCTCCGGAGCTGCTGGGGATGGGTTGAGGATTCTAAGGACCTCCTTGATGATTCTTTTCAAAAGTAGCCTAGATGTGACAATACGCTTTCCCAGCAGCCCTGCCAAGGACTCCAGGCCCCAGAGTGCCTAAGTTCTTGCTAATGAAAGGCGGAGGAGGACACAGGAGATGCCACCTACCACACAGCCTGCTGCCAGCATTCAGTGGCAGAGTCTGCCTGACCCAAAGCTGGGAAGTCCTTCACCTCGCCAAGACTGACAGCAGAAACCCAGGGGCGTTGTGGAAATCTGCTTACTTAGCAAACTCAAATACCGTGATAAAAGCTGAAATGCAGAAGTTGATTTGGAGAGAAATACATAAGCTAATAAAAGAGGCACATCCCGAATATATAAACCCAGAAGACAAGGTCGCCTCTGCCCTTAAGACTGCCTGTGCCTTTTCACTGTTCAGCACACGTGCTCCTGCATTCACAGAGCTCTTCCTGGGGGAGACTCAGCCTGCAGATCCAGGCAGAAGCGCCCTCCCGTCTCAGAGATGGGCTCTGAGTGTGGGCATCCGACAACATGAGGGGAAGATGGAGATCACCACTTTCCAGGCCCAGTATCCCAAAACGCGAGGCAGTGGGAAAATGGGTTGTCTGTAAAGCATGGAAGTTTTCCCATGGCAGCATGACCGTAAAAGCCTGTAAAATACCACTCAGGTCTCACCTCTCAGTGAAGGAAATGATCCAGGCGAGGGTCCTCAACTACCTGCTAGAAAGTCAGCGCCAAGTTGCAGGTAAAGCCTGCATCGCAAAGGGAGCTGGTGGTGACAGCTGTGGACCCACTGGGTCCTCTGACCATGCTGACAGGTAGGGCTGCTGACAGGGAAGGGCTTGTCACCATCTGCACAGACCAGGGCAGTGCTGCCACCATTCCCAGGAGGAGAGATGACACTGGGAACAGTGCATTACGAGGACGAGTTCGGAAGGCAATGACTGGGTCTTGCTCAGGAAAGACACCAGGACTGGACGTCCTGTGCGGGAACCTGGCTGAACCCATGCTCAGAAAGCGGCTGCAGTGGTCTGTGGGAAAATGCAGGACGTTGGACGTCACCAAGGACCGGCCCCTGAGGAATATTCTCAGATGCTAAAATGCTGTCTGGCTACTATTGTGTCTGGAGAGATACGTGCTGATACTTTTAGGGGAGATATATACACCTTTCATATTTTAATGGAAGTATGTACAGCTGTGGAATCTAGGTGGTAGGTATATACAGACTGATTAAAAGTGTATTTAAATTTTAAAATTTACTAAAGACACACTGCCATTAACTTCATTAATTTCCTTCAAACTGATTTTTTTTGGTCTTCTTGTGACAGTTTCACTATGTAGTTCATCCTCCTGCCTCAGCCTCCTGAGTGCTTACCCTAGTGCTTGCCACTTTGCTTTTGTTTTGGTACTGGGGATCTAACTCACGACCTCACGATTACCAGACAGGCGCTTACGCTGTGGAGCTAAGTCCCAGCCCCTGTTCTTGCCGCTATTTGAAGCATGTTCTTTGAAGTCTCTTTTCATGTCTTTATGGCCATGATAAAAACACAGCAAAGGTAAAAGAAGTGCAAACTCCCCACAATGACTGTGATTACTGTGTATCCAAACAAAACCAATAAAAATAATGAAACCAAGTAAAACCAAACTAAGAAAAACCAGAATACGAGTGAGGAACCTGCTGTCCGAGGCACCGCCCGGCAGAAGGACAGGCGTGTGAGGGCAGCAGAGCCTCCCACGGCCCTCACTCCTTGGCCGTGCGCCTTCTGGCTCTCCCTCCGAGCAGAATGGCCCTGAGAGGACACAAAGGCAGCCCAGTGGAGCAAGTGGGGACACTCAGGACAGGAAGGTGGCAGGAACCACGGGTGTCAGAAGCCAGGGTGTTATGAAGGGGCTGCACAGCAATGTCCTTGAGTGTAATAAAATTAAATACCACATGTTTTAGTCACAACTTGTACGTGATCACTGTGCTACTGGTGCATATTTTCTATATGTTTGAAATTTTCCAAAAAAGCATGTGGAGCTGGATGTGGTGGTGTATGCCTGTGGTCCCAGCCCTCAGGAAGCTGAGGCAGGGGGATCACCGAGAGTTTGAGACTAGTGTGGACTACATATCAAGTCGCTGTCTCAGAAAATAGGAACAGAAAAGTAGGACTTGTATCTTTTCAACCTATAAACACTTCTAGAAATGTATTCCCAGGAAATAGTTTGAAATTTGCTCAAATCTTTTCAGGAATTGTTATGGAAACTTCCTTTCTGTCTCCACACCCCCAGATTAGAAAGAATCTCAGCATGCAGCAAGGTGGTCGGTTAGGTCACCTGGGACAGCCATAGCTGGACATCACCCACTGACCTCCGAGTTCTCAAAGACAGGCACAGTGCGCACCTCTGAAGCCCTGTCCCTCCAGATTCATGCAGTGGGGGCACGCTCCTTACACATCCACACACTGCATGCCTAGTGCTAACCTACGGTAGACTCCTATAGGCTTCTCAAGTGCAAACTCATGTTTATTCCTGAGGACATGGACATGGACATGGATAAGACCAGGTGGGAAGGAATTGATTTTTTTTTTTTTTTTTTTTTTTGGACATAAGGTCTTGCTGTGTCATTCAGACTGGCCTTGACTGCACTGTAGCCTCGGCTGACCAGGAACTCATGGCGATCCTCCTGCATCAGCCTCCCCTTGTGCTGCGATTACACCATGCCCATCAGGAAGTGAGCTATTCAGGAAAGTGGCCACCAGCTCCTGGTTGTGTGATGTCAGGGTAGATATACGGGTTCTAAATGAGGGGACAAACTCAGAGGTTATGCCACTGGTCCAGAGATATTCAGGAGCCAAGATTCAAATGCAGGACGTTGAATTTCAGGGCCGAGGCCCCGCCTGATCTCACGAACTCCGGAGCCATTCTGCCGGTAGAGGTGGCGGGTGAAACTTCCCGCAGTCGCAGCTACCCGCAGACACCAACATGTGCCCCAGCGGATCGGCCTCGGGGAACCCCGCGGAGGGGCACGTCCCCAGCACGTTCCCCGCCCCACTTCAATGCACAAGTGCTTTGCTCCACCTGAAGCCCTCGCTGACCGTGGACAACAATTTGCACAGCGGCCCAAGAATTAATTTATGCAGGCAAATAAATAAAAGCACAGCTTTGACCCCGGTGTTTTTTCTGAATTTTTATTAATTTTATTGTAACAGCTCGATTCTCTCGTGAAAAGAATTTGAAGATGAACAAATCAATTACATTTTTTAAAAAACCAGCATTTAATCCTCATTATAGAGAACAAAATATCTGTGGCACATTCTCTTTGGAAAGATCTTTTGCAAAATTTTCTTCCAAAAAACAAAATTATGATCCTCTCACAAACCACGCACGACTCTTTCCAAGGATGACACCAGGCAGCTCTGTGTGGCTCAAGAGCCGCAGGTCGCGCTGCCGCAGGTGTGAGTGGCAGGTGTGCCTGTAACCGGCGCCCCCGCCCGCCCGCTCGCGCAGGCACACTGTGACTGTGACCATGACCATGACCATGACGGCGGCGCGCACCGACCCACTGCTGCTGAAGAGCTCGTCCTTTTAAAGACGCCCAGTGATTTTCACTTATCAGCTAGACGATCCACTCCTCTTAAAATCGTCTCAATAATAGCAGGATTTTATTTTCCTCTACAGTATAAGAAAGCAAAAAATATATAATACACAATGATAATAAATAAGAAAGGCAACCCTGCGCAGGTATTATCGAAACGTGATCACATTCAGGAGGGGGAGATTCAGGCCGCAGGGCAGCCTCCTAACAGTGCACCGCCCGGCCTGAGCAAAGGGAGCTCGGCGCTGCGGAGTCGCCCAGCGAGCTGTCCTTCCCTGCTCGGTGCGCCCTGAGTGGACGGGGTGGCCACATGCTACCGGACGCAGTACCTGGTGTCCCACGGAACGGGACAGGACGCACTGCGTTCCCCGAGACCGCAAGGAACGGACAGCCACCCAAGGGTAAGTGGTAAACGGTGCTTGTCAATGCTTCGGGAAGACAACCTAGGGGAATGCCAGGGCTCGCCTGAAGGAGCGCCTCCAGCGCCCGGCTGCCCTCCCCGCAGTGGGGAGACACAAAGCCCAGGCACAGGAACACATCTTACTTCTGTCATTTCCAAACACGAAAGCCCAGACCCACGGGGACGAGCCACCGCCTGGGCCCCAGTGGCGTCCACCGCGGCAATGTTCCACTCAGCGAGGGGCCTCCCCCTGCGCACCCAGACACTCCTGGGAAATTCTCACAAGGTTGAAATACTGGTTATCAAGAAGTGATAAAGTTTTTGAAACATTTTGTTGTACTGGGGATTATAAATCATTCGAAAAAGAAATTGGGCAGGAGGCATGGAAATTCTTGGAAATACATTTATAAAAGCCCAACTCATTCACCTCAAGGGGTGCAATCATTCTTCAAACCCTGCAGAGCAGAAGGGTGAAAGATGTAAGCCTCTTATAACATCCCCGACGCTGTGGCTGAACAGAGGGTGACATTGTTTTAAAACCAGGTTTGGTCAACGAAGCACAACATGCGCTCTGGTGTAACTGGCTTCTTCAGTACAGCAGAGCTAACAGCGTGGAGGACAGCCCAGGAGTTCCCAAGCCTACCAACATTAATGCATAAGGACCAGTGAAGGCAAGGTTTCGCCCGGAAAGGGGTCACATTTTCTTAGCTTCTGAACACCCTGAGATCTGGAAGCAAAGGATGCAGAGCAGGAGAGGTAAATGTCCAGTTTGTTGGGGGTAATAGCTACACGTTTTGGCCAAAACAGATCTATAAAACAACAGTTTAAAAAATCAGGTGCTCTTCCCGTTCAGGACTGTGACCAATCATAACACGGGACAGATCAGACAGTCAGACAATTCGGATGTCCTGCCAACTGCCCGCTGCCCTCCCCTCTGCAGCCGAGGACCAAGGGGCCTGTGTCTTCACAACCTTCCTGGGGTACGATCTGGTGGACTTTCATAGCATTTTTCATTATTTAGCAGGGTCCTTAAGTTCACTGATTCAGGGTCATTCAACACTTTTTAAAGTGAAAGCTTTTCCATCTTCTACTGTGAATGCGTATGCACACCCCCCATAGCACTGGCAGCATTCACGCTGTGTTTACTCCATGGGATGCTTTTCTTTGTCTTGATGTGAAGTGGGGATTGTTGCTGTCAGGATAACATCACATATTCCAAGACTTAATTTCATAATGCAGTTGCCTCAAACTCCTTCCTTCCGTGTAAATTCTGGTACTGGGGATCGGAACCTTGCAGTGGGAAAGTGCAAATGGTTTAGAGAACTCTGCGTGGACATCCCTGCACCGTAAGCGGACACTGCAGAGCACGGGGGAGCCCCCACCTCCCCCTTTCAGGTGCAGTGAGTGCTGTCATCAGAATCAAAAACCTGGTGACTGAAGCAGCACACAATGATTTATCCAAACCTGCTGAGTTTGTCAAGGGACAAATAAAATTTAATAGAGATTAGCAAAAAATCCTACAAAGAATCAGGCCATGGAAGAAGTTCTTTGAGAACTGCTGAGAAACACCTGGGTCCAGCACAAAGGCGCCTCACCAGGAGGGCAAATGCTCTGCATGAGTGACAGGCAGCTGCATCTGCAGCAGGGAGGGGACAGCCAAGGGGCAGGGACAGAGCGGCAGCAGACTGCACAGGCCGGAGCTGGGCGCCGTGTCCCCGCCACACAAGACACACAGCACCAAGCACTCAACCTGCGGAGCAGTTACTGTTGAGTAACAAAAGCTCTCTCAACTAGGAGCTTAGAAAGACCACGAGTTTGCATCAGAGGAACCGCGAAGAAGCTGCTTTGTCAAGATTGCACATCAAGGTTCTCTGCTCAGACAGCTACTGCTGTAACCTGGCGAGGGGACAGGACAGGTGGAAGCGAGGCTCACAGACAGCATCACAGGACAGCTCCGTGTGAAACCAACACGCCCCTCCCGCCGTCCACCTGGCTCTGTACACAGGCAGCACACGACAGAGACCTCCGAAGTCACCAGAGGGCACGGGAGCCCTTGTTTACAAAGGTGCTTCTCTTTTCTCCATGAGTAACAAATACCGACCCATGAAACATGCGTGGAAGGAAATGCGCAGCAGCGCAGAATGGGTGGAGGGGGAGGAATTAATCAGAGCTAACACCCCTCAAGTGTAATTCATGTGCAAATTGTATTTTCTAAAAGGGGCAAAAAAGAGTTGGCTTTAAAAAACACTGCACTCAGAAGAGTATTTCCAATATGAGCCTCCATGACGGAGGACCTGGGTGACAGGCCTGTGGGAATCCTGATGTGCCCCTTCCTCCCGGTCATTCTGAAGGAACCGGTCCAGCCTGCTCAGCATGGCGAGAACTTGGGAAGGCCACTGTTCCTCCTCAGCCTCGCCAGAACACGATGGAGTGAAGGCATGTGGTGACGATTCTTAAAAAGTCTCATCAGTCCCCCAAATCTCCACCTCGTCTTGAGGAGTTAACTTCCTCTAGTCAATCAAAGCTCAGAAAGTTTAGTTTTGCTATAAATATAAAATAATTTGTAGCAGAAAAATAGAGCCTCTCTAAGAAGTAGATTTCATTTTCCTTTGTTCACTGACGAAACTCAAGAGTGGGTCACACACAAGGCACACCACAACTGCAGGCCACTCACCAGCCCCTCAGATCCCAGGGGCGCTTGAATGAAACTCAGAAAGCACATCAGCCACCTGGCCAGGCATAAACGCTGATTCCCTGCTTCCCCGAGACAGGAAATGCATAAGGTGGTCCAGGGCAATTGCCTGCCACCAAGTCCTCTTCCCGGAAGTGGGGTGGGGATGGTGGTGATGCTAAGTCCCCTGAGGACCAGGGGCTCTACACACTGCCTTCCAGCACAGTCAGAGGCCTCTGCACCAGGATGAGAGTGCAGTCCTTTAGGGAACGGGCTTTGCTTTGATTTTATAAATTAGGATAATACTTGCTATTATCAGAGCCACTGCTTCCTGACAAAAGGCTACAGTACAGTCTTTCACGATGGCCATCAGAATCCATTAAACAGATCCTCCCCAAAACTTAGAAAAGAAATCAATCACAAAACCCTTCACCAAACATTATTTTTACAACATTTCCTTCTGGGGGTGGGCCAGGGTGACTGCGGAGATGATGTGCATTTGCTTTCAGAGTTGCACCCCATTGGTTCAGAACAGAACAAAACAAAAGCCCAGGGACAGGATCCCAGACTAGCTGCACGGCTGGGGGAAGCGATGCCGCACTTCTACCCACAGCTGGGAAAAGCTGGGGTCTGGGCTGACCCCAGCCCCACTTCTGCACAGCCACAGTGCTCAGCGGTGGCCATGCAGCTCTCCAGAGTGTAAGTGGACACGCTTCAGGTCATCTCCCAAAGCAACTTTTAAGACAAATGTTCAGACTGGTTCTGAGCTTCCAATGTGCAAAGACAGTTCCCAAGGCGTTGGGTCCAGCTGGGAGTCTGTTAAGGTGTCTTGGTTACTTGTTTTAGCCGCTGAAAACCCTGCCGTGCGTACTGCACCAGGTCTGCCAGGCTGCTGTTGAGGGCCAAGGTGCACGTCTTTGTGCTGAGCTGAGCAAAGAATTCTGCAAAACAAACCAAGTAAATGTGCATGAACACAAATGTTGGAATGGAAGCAGAAAACGTCAAGTTTCTAGAAGCTACCCCCCAACATCCTGCATTTCATTTATCAAAGCCAAAAATCAAACAACCCCCCTCCACATGCAAACACACACGCATGCACAATAGGGTGACCACACACTAATTCGACTTCCCTTCAGTAGGCTAGACAGGCAGGGACCAGGTTTGCTTCATAGTAGAATCCAAAAACTCTGCCTAGCACAGTGCCTGGCACTTTTACACACATCCATCACAGACGGATGGATGGACAACAACCATGAGAAAACCCAGTCGTGTTACAGGTACCACTAGTTTGCTGAGAGAGACAGAAAGCACTAGGTGGCTGGGGGACATGTGGAAGGTACAGCCAGCTGGCGGCCGTGCTCCTGCAGCTCAGGCAGCCATCTATGTCAGTGTCTGCTCAGTGGGGACCAGCAGTGAGCTCAGCAGTCTCTGACGGCACGCTCTGCTGTTCTTCACCTTGGGTTCTCAGGGGCATTCCTCTCGACAACAGTGCTTACCAGGCCACCCTTGGCATCTGAGCTAACTGACTCTAAGCACACAGTGAGGATACACGCACTCAGCCCTGGGTCATGTCACCCCCTATCGCGGACGCCGGAACCTAGGGACAGCCAGTGAACCTCCCCACTTGCTCTGCTGTAGCACTTTGTAGCACTTCTGCGCAGGCTGAGAGGATGATGAGGGCCTATGAAGGCCGAGCTGCCAACACCACTTCTACCTTGGCTTCTCAAAGATCCACCCACGGGGACCCGGCCCCACGCCCAGGCTCACGGAAGAGCTGCAGCTGGGTTCCAGGCAGAATGGAGATGAGGAATCCAAGGAATCCCCAGCTCTGCCGTCCCTGTTCTGTGAGGAACTGCACACAAGACCCAAGCAATGCTACCCCCCCCACACCCCGGGCATCATCGCCAGGGCCACACCTTTGCTCTTCCTTGCGAGGGCTTCCGCCTGCTCCCAGAGATCAAAGGCAGTGAGGACGTGGGATGTGATGGTGATGTAGGAAGAGGTCATGTTCTGGATGGTGACGGGGGTGCTGACCATGGCAGGCGTCCCACTGCTCCCCAGACTGCCAGTGCTCGGCGGGGCCCCGGCAGAGCCGGCTGGAGAAGGCACTGGGGAAAGCGGGGATGGTGCGCCCGTGCTCCTGCAGGGTGAGAAGGGGATCAGCCTGTTGGCTCGGCAGCTACTGTGTCCATCCCAAGCAGCAGTCAACTGCTACGGTCACTCCTACATGGTCAGGGACACCAGGTGGGCTCAGCCATGTCCTAGACACACTTTCCCTTCCTGCACTGCCTTCTCATCTCCAAGGCATGCTGGGAAGACTGCTTTCACTAACAGGACCCCTACCCCCTCTGCCCCTGCACTCGTGTGGACACCATGGCACAGCACAGCTTCCTTTCTGTCACCACTTCAGTCTCTTTCTGTGCATTTGCCTCCCTTTTCCTGGGTCCCACCACCAAGAGGGCAGAGGCAGATCTTGACGACCTGTGCACTTTAGCCCAAGATGGGGAGGCACTGGGGTCTGGGGCTGGGAGCAGGGCAACCCCAGGAGGGATGGGACCGGGAAACCGGGCATGAGCTTCCCTCCTCCTTGGCTGAGGACCTGCTCATCTCAGAGTGGACTCCATGAGAAGGGTGGGATGCAATCAGAGTAAACCCTATTGGACTAAGAAGGAGGGGGCAGCAGCAGCAGTCTGGCAGGACCAAGTTTCCCTCTCCACCTGTTTCCTGCCGCGCTCTAGCTGCTCCAGTGGGCAGCAGCTGAAGGAACTGTGCCTGGTGATGGGACCCGGTGTATCTCAGAGCTTAGGTCAGAGTAGTCAGCACACGGGTGGTGACATTTTCAGAAGGAAAAAGTGACCTCCCTGTCAGGACTTTCCTTGCTGAAGAGGACTCAGGTACACTTGTGTTGAATGTTGGAAATTCCTACCAGCACTGGAAATTCCCACAAAGTCTGACCAAAATTCCAAACAACTGCTAGGCAGAGACAGCACAGAGGAGCACTCTGCCCCTTCACACAAGCCACTGTGTGGGCACCCTGCTCTCCTGCCTCCTGCACCAAGGTGGGCACTTCTGTCTGCACAGCAGGGGACACAGCTGCAGGGTGTGACCATGCTGTTCCCACTGCCCAGTGTAGGTCCTGGGAATGGCGAAGGCTCTGCAAAGTCCCCAGTTACTGAATGCCAAGAAGACGTGGGTGGGACATGCTGGCTCAGCCTCCAGGCACTCTGTTCTCAGGGAGCCCAGGGCCCCAAGGTTGCACTTCCCCCAGCATCTCCCGGGGATTCCAGGAGAGGCCTGCAATCCTTGCTTTCACTCCCATGGTGTGGGCTCCTCACCATCAGCACTGTCCACGAATGTCAGCATGTGTCTTGCCTCAGAGGTCATGCTTATATAGCTGTGTGACAGTGCTGTGTTTTTGTTCTGGGCTTTCCCCCAATGACCAGGTGGACCCTAGGGCCTCATGCATGCCAGGCACGTGTTCTACCAGCGAGCCACACCTCCAGTCAATGAAGCCAGAGGTGGTCAGCCCAGACTGCACGCAGCATAAAAATTAACCTCTCCAGGTCTACACAGGGAGCCTCAGATGGGTTGGGGAGCAGTGGGTTCAGATGCCCACTGGGAGGCTGAATGTGGGACCACTGTACTGTTGTGTTATCCACTCAATCTGAACCCTGGCTTATAACTACTTCTCAGAAAAGCAGGAAAGTGCTAGTTATTTACTTTTAAGAGCAAAGCAGCACACAGATGCACACGAGTTTTGAAAAGCCAAAGTCCTCCCCCTACTACATACACAAACAGTTGCAGAGCAAGACACAAAGAAAACACCAGCTTCGCTCTGTGAAGGACGTCACTCGGCCACGTGTACCTGGCAATGCACGGAGAAGGAGCCTGCGCCACTCTGGAAGAGGTCCTGAAGTGTTCATTCAGGGTGCGGGAATACTTCACTGCTATGTCCTTCTTACAGCGAAACATTGCCATGTTCAGGAGGGACTGGCACCGCATGCTGTGGACACACAGGGGCCACGTGAGCCCTGTCCTGCTGCCTGGAGACCGGCCTGTGCCTGGAGGCCCACCTCAGACGCTTCCACACCACGCAGACTGTGAGCAAAAGTAAATACTGGCCCCAACCCCAATACACAGGAATATAATTTAAATAGCAAGACTGAAGCACTCGGAAGCCACTGGCAAGCCGCCAGCATGAGATGCCATTTTCGTAATGAACAGTGGGACCCTCCACTTGCCAAGGCATCTACGTGGCTTTCACTATAATTCTCAGATTAAACGAAATTCCAAAGAATTTTAAAATATCAAAAGAACAAAAACAAACTCAGGCAGTTCAGACTACCTAAAGGGTACACACCATAGAACAGCGAATATTTTCTCTTGTGTGGTGCCATCAGGAGATTTCAGTGACATCGTGAACCTGCGGAGACAGGAGCCAACAGCAGGTTAAGGGGGGAAGGGGGAGCGGACCAGATGCCCTGGCCACAGGCAGCCCTACCGTGGCCCTGGATGTATAGATACAAGAGTGACACAGAGGAAAGCCAGGATCTGGGGTGCCCCAGGTCTGTGCACGCAGGTGTGGCTGCATCCCCCAAAGAGCCCCCCATCCCAGTCAGGGAAACGGGAGCCACTGCAAGGGTGAATCAGGGGCCCAGACTGCTCAGTGCACGTGGCACAGTGACAGCCTGGTTACTTTAGGCCAGCGCTAAAGCTAGAACGTAATTTCAGCTTAGGGCAAAAACCGTGCTTGGGCCCATTGCTTTTTTGAGCTACTGGACGTGGAGCCCTCGGCCGCTGGCATGCCAGGCATGCGCCTTGCCGCTGAGCTGCATCAGCCGGACCTCTTAACGCTCCCTATATAGAGCTGTCCCTACGCCACTCATCAAGCAGATGAAGCAACAGGAAGGGAGGCGCAGTGGGCCGGAATAGGGCACCGGACTCGGAACTTACTTGACAAGATCCACCGCTTCCGAGTACACAGAGTACACCGACCTGGTTGCCGGACCCTCCAACTCCATCGCGATCCCACACTCGATAAGGGACAGCACAGCGTCCAAGTACTTAAAGGCCTTGCCCACCTTGTCGGTCTGTAGGGAACGGTCACTGTGAGGCCAGCGCAGCCTGCTCCTCACAGCTTCTCACCCACATCCTTGGGGGGGGGGGCTCCACCCCCTTGTCTGTGCTCAACCACACTCAGGAAGGAAGACGCGCAGAACAAGTGAAAGCGACAGCCACCACCTTCTGGAAGAGGGAGCAGAAACCCCTCAGGAGCAGCAGCCCTGGACGGAGCTGCTTGCCCCTTCGGAGGCCCATATACGGTCCCTTGTGTTGTAACTTCCCCAAGAACCAGACTGCGGCACATGTAGGCCAGCACGGACACAGGCTCCTCTGCAGGCGCTGAGGTTTATCTTGCGAGCAGAGAGCACTCATTTTAGTTTCTCATCTAACAGTCATCTTCTTATGCTCCTTGAAGCCCAACCGATTAATCCCCTATGGTGCCTTGGTTTAGTGTACAAGGCTGTGTGACCTCAGGCAACCGGGACAAAACTTCACTGTGCCTTAGCGACACTGTGCAATCAGATACTACGGTGGCCACCTCAGTACTCACGCTGGCACTAATCCTCTTTTCACAGTGTGGCACACAGCCAATCCGACCAATCAGATTACGGGAGGGACATCCTTCCTCTGCAGCTGGCCCGAACACCACAGGTTAGCACTGCAGGCTGCAGCTACTGCCAGGGCGCTCACAGGGACCCACTCCGAGGCTGAGTGGTACCCAGGTGCACGCCGTCCTTGTGCTGTCCCAGAAAGGGAGCAAGCCAGGCTGGCACATGCACACACCTGTGTGTACATACAGTCCAGAACCTCAACACCACTACTCCAGGGTTTCACATCTTAGACATAACATGACTTTAAAAAGGATTTCTCGGGGCTGGGGATTTAGCTCAGCGGCATAAGCGCCTGCCTTGCAAGCAGGCAGTCGTGAGTTTGATCCCCAGTACCAATAAAAAGGAAAAAGACAAAAAAAAATAAATAAATAAAAATAAAAAGGATTTCTCCTAGATAATAGAGGCTCAGAATATTAGTGACAAAAAGAATAAATTCAAATATGCAACCCTTGATTCTTTAGCAGTGTAGGACATGATTGGTTTGCTTTGCTGATGGGACTCTAGTACTCAAAATCTGTTGATTCAAAACCATTTCTTTCATGGGAGCAAAAAACCACAGTGTAATAGAGCCATTAGCTAACATCCCCTTTCTTAATTATTTTGCAGGGATGGCAGTGCTTGGAAGCATTACCCCTGTGGGGACTGGTTTAAATGGTAGCACCCCAATCCCTACACTAGGCAGTGACACACTTGTCTACTCAGTCACAATGTCAAACACATGCCTGAGTCATTATGCAACTGTCCAAACCGGCAGGCCCTGCAAGCAAAGTAGGTATGTACTATTTATTACACTGGGCTCCAACAGATATAACCAGACCTGTCCTGGCACGCTGGGAGGTACACAGAAAGAAGACGTGGAGAGAGAAGATGTGCCTTCCTACAGAGTAAAACAAAAAAAACCACCTCTCTGGAGCACTTATCTTAATTATGTGAATAGCGGGGAACCTAGCTCTGAACCATCCCACGCCACGGCAGCTGCACATCCCTGACTGGCAGTGCTAACTGTTCACTCTTCCCTAACACTCAGGAGTCACCCAGCTGCTGTGATGCTGTTAGCAAGTGGGAAGGTGGACCACCACTTGGCACAGCTATGGCCCAACTCAGGCGACCCTGGCATGGGGCAGAGGTAGGGACCTCCTGAGCTCCCCAGGAACATCTATCTGGTATGGGAAGGAATCAAGGGATAGTTTGCCTAAAGAATGGGGAGCTTCTCAGGGGCTGTAGCATATCTCTTGGAGGGGCAGAGGACAGATGTGGAACACTGTGTGTCAGGCCAAAGTCCCTGTGACCACAAAGGCTGTGACCTGGGTCCCTGGCAGCCCTGCCCTCCCCTGGGGCAGCACACACCTCTCCAGGAAAGGGCTCGCATCTGTGGGTATTTAGGTCTGGGGAGATGCTCACCCACGGTGAAAGAGACACATTATCACGGCACACTGCAGCAGTGACACACAAGTCTGTTTAATTACATGTCAATTAATAACAAGCCTCCACCTTTCAGTAAGTCCACAGGCCAGCAACTCAGGGAGGCCACGCCTGCAGCGACGTTTGCAACAGTATCATCAGCACCTATGTCTGAAATGTCCTCTAGCAGGCTCAGCCAATTCTCCCTTCAGGACTCTAGGTACTGGGGTGCAAACAGACTTCTCTCTTTATCAGACCTTCCTGTGGGGTCACAAACTGACCTTCATTAGCAGGGCTTTTGCATATCCAAAGAGCTGATTCAGTGAGACAAGAAGCATCACCTACTACCTCACCACAAGTACATCAACTTCCACTAGAAGTTGTACAGAGTCTCTGTAGGAATCTGTTCATGATCAGACTGCATCACTGGAACTGAAGGACAGAATCCAACTAAAACACCTTTGGCCCTGATTATCCTGCTCACTCGCAGCCAGCGGCAGGGCAAGCAGCCCCGGCCCTGGCTCCTCCTCCTTCTCCCTCCAGCCCAAGACTCTCAGGACACATGTCTGCTGATGCAGAATACTGCAGATCAAGAGTGACTATTTCTTTTTTTAATCGGAAAACATTCCATTAATGGAATAAAAAGCCAAAACTGACCATTGACTCTGCTTTGCTCTTCAACTTTTTGGCCTCCTTCATGTGAAAATCAGCTTGCTGTCTGAAAAAGAGAAAAGTGGAAAAGTGGGTCCTAGGAAGCGGAAGTGAGTACTTGTTAGGGATGAGACAAGTGGAGGAGGCCAGGAGGCCGAGAAAGTACAGGCAGAAGAAAGAAGGAAATGAGAAAGGGGCGAGGAGGCGAGGGGAGGGAGGAAGAACATGCAGCAAACATCTGACCCTTACTTGTCAAACTTCACTTGAGGCTTCCCTGGTTTAGAGTTACCATTTGGCAAAGAAGGCACCGGAAAAGGATTTGTACTATCTCCAGATCCCTGTTTAAAAAAAAAAAATCACACACAGATTATGCTTCAACCCTCAGGGTCAGTGCCCCTCTTCTGTACGAGGAATTGAACGCGGGCCCTTGACCTTGCCAGGCAGGTGCTGCACCACTGAGCTACATCCCCAGCTAAGATCACTGTTTTAAAAGCAGTCTCTCTCAAGAAACCCCAAACAGTGCCCAAACAGCAGCTACACCCTGCTAGGTCGTGGACCTCCCACCATGGGCGCAGCTGTACCTGCAGCTTCTGGCTTCCTGGGGACGCAGAACACTCAAGACAGCGGGCAAGCGCAGTATTTCCACTGGTCCCCACACACCTACACTAACAGCAAGAGGGGCTATCTGGTCCACTGGAGAAAGTGGTGTAATTTCCCATTACAGCAAATGAAGTATTTGCGTTCAAACATCCAGAGCATGCACTGGAGTAATAGTTTTCTTTCTGCAAGACATCTCACTGAGAGTATTATTCCGATTTTTCTACCAGAATCCGTATTTAGGGCAGTGGGCTGACCCTAAGTGTTGGGTATTGTATTGTAGTGTCTTGGATTCTCCCTCCAGGAAGCACAACTTCAAACACAGCATTGTTATCGCCAGTTAACTCAGACCAAGGGCTCTAAGGGCCACTTACTCTGTGTTCCGAGGAGCTCCCAGAGCCCCTGCGCTGGCCTTTCCTGTGCTTGGGAGCAGAGGGCTCTTTGTGGCTGCTCTTGGTAGCACTGGCACTGTGGGGAGGGTCCTGGCAGAGGTCTGCTTCCCGCTGTGACCGCTTATGTGCAAACTTGGCTGGCTTCTGGGAGGACGAGGAGGAGGATGTAGAGGAGGAGGACACAGGTGCAGGGGCAAGCATTTCTTTTTTCGAGGGCTCTGAGGAGGGCTTGTGGGTCCTGGAGTGAAACATTAGACAAAGTTCAAGTGAGGCAGAACACAATCAAACCACTCAGTTTTACAGGACAAAATGCAGGCTGGCGGGGAGAGCGCGATGCCGCCATGGTGCGCGCTCTCCTGCTACGGAGCGGCCAGATTCCAGGGCTGCTGGAGGCCTGCGCGGCCTCGAGCCCCATCAGCAGCAGCAGTGTGCTGAAGGTGCTGACACTCTCGGGCTGGCCCTCTCCCCCACCTCCACCACTCCTGACTGGGCTCTGACTCATCCATAGCTCCCACGAGAGGACAGCTTAGGCTGAGCTGCATGTGAAGGCACCTCTTGAATAAATCAGAAGCTTTTCCCTGCTGTGGCCCTCTGCTAACACTGGCAGCGCTGCAAAGCCTCAGCCTCTCCTACTCTGAGGGGCAGCGTGGGTGCCAGCTCCTGGCTGGGCTTGCACTTCCCATTCTGCACAGAAGGGACAATGCCGGTGCCTTTCTTAAATAACTGCCAATGTCTGAAAAGCCTGATAAAATCTAAACTGGCCACCAAATGAACGGTCAGTCCCCGGGAGTGCTTAAGGGGTGACAGGAACACAGGACAAACTTAACACACTGGCCTGAGGCATCAGGAGTGTGCTCAGGACCTGTCAGCTCTGCCGCATCAACTCTGTCCTGTCAGGAATCAAGACGACTCGGAATCCCCTTAGGCCATACTCACTTTGTTCTAGAAGATTCTTTGTGAGAGGATGAAGACAAAGAGGGCTGTGATTTGACTTCTTTCTGTAGTCTGATTTTCTTATTTTCATAGTCTTTCTCCGCTTCCCCCTGTCATCGTGTTACAAGGCACAACATTACAAACACTTGTACACAGGAAACGGAGTCCGCAGAAAAGGCCGAGGGGGTGACCTGACTTCTGTGACATCCACACATACAGCAGCCTCGTGAGCTCTCAGAGGACAATCTGAAGTCCATGCTGCCGGGACTGAGACAAATTTTAGTGAAAAAAGATGAATCCTCATAACCCCAGAAAGGGACAAGGTCTAAGGCAACAGTTCCCAGCAAGAGGAAGTGAACGGGAAGCCGCCAGTGTCTTTCTGAATACTAAGCATCAGTACCCCGCAGGTGCAGGGCTCCCGCCCAGCAGTCACTACAGCATTCACTGTGCCCACTTCTAACAACCCCGCCATGTGCACCCACTAACTTTACTGCACGCAGAGTCCAGACTGGCACACTTAGAGCTCATCTCCCTCCTAATGAAAACAAGGGTGTTATTCAAAAGAAAGGGACCTGTGCTCTCACATTCTCAAAGTACGATATTAGTGGGAGTCAGGAGAAGAGGGGAATCTAAGATTTAAGTAACTCAGTTACACAACTAAAGTGTTATACAAATACCCACTTCACAAACTTAATTCTCCCCATGACTGTGGCTGCCACCAGAATCGTGGAACAAATTCCATGACCAGAACTGTGGAAAGAATTAAGTTTGTGAACCCAACTCCACTGAGTTCTCATCACTGAGAGAACAAAGAGGTCTTCGTGACAAAAACCACTTCCACATTGCACGCGTCACTGAGGTTTGACCCCAGTAATCTGCCCAGGCCTGCTGGGGACAGCTTGTACGGCCCAGCTCAGGAAGGAGCCCCTTCTCCCCAGCTGAGAGCAATGAAGAATGAGGTATGAGCTGGCTCCCCTCTGTGTGTTCCCCAGTTAGGAATCTGGGCCCCAGTCTATCAGCCCAGGACAACCCTCCATCAACCCCAGCCTCTGAAGCCACAGGGAAAAGGTGGTCTTTGAATGGCTGTTCGTAGGAGGTCTGAGTTTTCACCAAGGTGTGTTACCCCAGAATCTCTCACAGGAAAATGAAGAAAGGTTGGTTCAAGGCCTGCCCAGATTCTAATGAACAACCTGGCCCTACTCAAAAGAATGGGAAACAGCAGAACACTTGTTTATACATATGTGGTTTGCTTTAAAGCAGATTTGTTCAGGGGCTCCCAGGAGTGCCTGCTTTTGCATTATATGTGCTGACATGAGAATGTTGAGAGGGGCTGGACTGCAGAGAGCTCTGGCCACAGGGGTGCAGGCCAGGCCAGCATCCGGGGAGCACTGTGTCCTGAAAGCAGCTCCTACAGAGGAGAGACTTGAAGAGAATGTAAGGGGAAAAAACAGAGTGTAATGGCTTTTTTACTGACTGAATGTTTATGTGGTGTTTGAGCCACTAGATTAAAAGTCATGAGCATGACTGCCACTGGCTTTTCCATGTGGCTCCTGGAATTTGTGGCTCACCCTGTAGGTCTGTAGGAAGCACTTTTACACACTCTGCCAAAGACACTCTACACACTGGGATCTTGCCAGTCCATCAGCACAGAGAGAGTTACACACTAGCTCGGACAAGCAGAAAACCAACCAGGGACTTAGAGCTGTACCAGTCACTGTGGGAGGCTGGGGCAGCCCCTCTCCGAGGTCCTCCAACATCCTAACTCACCCCTGAAATGCCACCAGCCAGCTGAGGATGTGAGAAGCCTGGCTCATGCCAGGAGAAGCCACCAGGGCCTCATGGCGGGCCTTGCACAGCTGTGAGTCTGTGTGGTGATGCGTCCGAGGAACAGGAAAGAGTCTCTCGTGGTGGACGGGGCTGCCTAGCAACCCTGCCCCAGGCATGGAGTGCCCCTTGCCAGTTAGGCACCCACCTGTGCTGGCACCCTGTCCGGAAAGGAGCCAGGAAACTGTGGGGTCTGAAAAATTCTAAGGCTGGCCCAGTGAACCGTGAGGAAGATGGACATTTATCCCTGGGAAAGTGAGAATGTGCTAAAATGTTCAGGCAGCTATGCGCTTACGCACAGCAGTAAAACAGGTTTTTAAATGGGAGGCCTTTCCAGCAGTTAAGGACATGCAAAGGTCCCCAAGTCACTAATTAATAAATGTCACTCACCAAACGACATCCTCAAAAGAACACCTTGGCCCGGAGGTGGACTGAGAGTAATGGCTGTTTGTGTTTTCACGTTGCTTAGAACACACTGGCTATGCCTTAACCCGAAGCAGCAGACCGTGCAAAGCACACATGAAAGTAAGAGCCAAGTCAGTCGATACCAGACCCCGCCTCCCACACAAGCAGTTAACCATGCAAAAACTCGCTTTCCACTGATCCCACGCAGAAGCTGGTGGTAATGTCCAATAAGCGAGCAGAAAGGAAGCCACCCAGTTACACAACAGTGATGCCCCTCTGACGGGGCTCACTGCAGGCAGCACAGCCCTGCACATCTGCACTGCACGTGGAGCTCGGTCCCTCCCTGCCCGAGGCATCCCAGCATCGCTCAGTGTTGCTCACAGCTTCAGAGATCCTCAGAAGCAGGACTCTGCCACCCCCCAGGAAGATGCACCGAGGAAGGGCCCAGCCACTGTAGGCATCGGGAAACTGAGACCTGAGTCCACGTCCTCCTTGGAGGAGCGCAGCACAGGGCTCTCTCTCCCCTAGGGAGCAACAAAGGTATGCCCTGCTTGGCACTTACTCCACATCACCCCATTTCAGGGGACCTGGTCAAAGGTCTGGGATTTACAATTCCTTCTGCTTGGGAGTGAGGAGGCTGCTGGCTGGCTTCTAGGTCACTTGTTTGCTTTCCATGACCTGTCGGGACAGGCAGCCTGTTGATCTGCCAAGGGCTGCCCCACCTCCAGAGCTGCAGGGATGCCACCGGGCACCAGCGCCTGCCCACCTGCCTGCCTGTACCTGGCTCAGCACGTAGGCACTTCCTGGCGGCAGGAGAGGGTGGCGCCCCCGCCCAGAACTGATAGTACTTCTAACTGGTGGACGGATGTGGGCCATGGCCTGCTGGGAGCACAGCCGCCACAGGGGAGCGTGGAGGGTGTAAAAAGGAGCCCAGGAAGGGGCAGGAGATCAGGAGCCAAGACAGGGAGCATGGTAATGACCACCCAGGTAGCTGTACCCAACAGCCAACACCCTGATCCAGACTGCTATACCTCCCAGCACACACTTGTGCAGTGACACGTGTGAAGAGGGGGAGCAAACACCAGCCAGGCTGGACACAACACAGCCTGTTGCACTCAGCTGCTCACAGGGGCCTGACCACAGGAGGCAGACGGACACCCAGGCTCCTCAGGGTCAGGACCCTACAACCTCCCACCAAGCAGCAGCTGAGCCTAGCAGGTGTGCAGTGCCAGGGAAGTGGAGATGTGCGGGACACTTGGGGACGTCCAGGCCATTCCTAAAGGAGGCTCAGAGAGAAAGAGATGCAGGACAGCTAGCTTAAGCTTGTGCCAGGGCCAAGGCCAGAGCCAGGGCCATGCTGAGCCAGGTCATGCTGCCCAGAGAGAGCACTAGGGAGAAGGAAGGTCACTGCGGTCCAAGGTGTCCACAAGGCCTGGGGTAACAGCCTGCACCACGGCTGCATGCAGGAGTGCTTGCCCCACAGCCAAGGGTGGGCCGGAGAGAGAAAAGCTCCAGCCTGTGCTTCCAGTGACCCATCTATGGGTGCTGATCTGGATCCTACAGTGAAGGGGTAGAGAGAAGCAACCACCCCCAGATATAAAAATGTATCTTTTCTGCCACATACAACTTCCACATTACAGCGCGTGTGCACGTGCATACACACACAGACACACACACACACACTAGAAGTGTCTTCCAAAAACTACCTTGGTTAATACAGCTAGCATGGCGAAAAAGCCATGCACAGATGTCTTCCCTTGCAGCTGCTGGGCCATGACCACTAGGACAGATCACCCATTTGAAAGGGCATGTGTTAGAGAGAGGAGTCCAGGAGTCTCACACAGCGCTGGGTTCACAGAGGGCGCTTGTCTCCACGGGGAGCATCTTGCCACACTTCCAGCAGCACTGCCTGACTGTGTTATTTACCATGACTCTCAACTTTAAAAATAATACAAAGAAAGAGATGCCTGTGGTGACATTCCTATAACCCCAGCACTCTGGGGGGCTGAGCAAATACAAACCCCACATGGTACAACTTAGTAAGACCCTATCTCAAAATGAAAACATGCAGTATACCCCTGGGAAACTATGGTTCAGAGTTTGCTGCCCTGTTATGTACGGATTTTTCCTCAGGACCTTATGAGTAATTGTTCCTGAAAATCCCTGCAATCTTAGAAACTGCAAACATCCTCGATTGTCTTTTAGGTGGTGGGGGTGGGGTGTTGCAAGTAGCCAGTCCGAGAGTGTTACGCAGTTGGCCTTGCTGCTGCCTGGCTGCCGCCCTGTAACCGGACAGGTGGATGCAGCATCCCTGGCATCCTGACAGGTAGCTAGCACCAGCGCCCTGTGGTTTGTTCTTAAAGCCCCAGGATGCCACCAACATGCCCTGCACTTTCCAGAGCTCTATCAATACAGTGTTTTATTAAATTAAATTACACAACTATGGAGACACTGCAAATTTAGGGTTTTAACTATAAAACTAGGCATTTTGCTAACCAAATGTGAAATATGTGGTTTTTCACAATCCTTAGGCGCTCTAAGAACATAACCCCCATAAATTTCAGCAGTTCACTGTAAATCTAAAAATGGCTAAGAATGAAGTTCAGTGCAAAGGCTCAGGGTTCAAACCCAACACGGGCATACATATATAAGGAAAAAAATAAATATTATATATGAAAATATCCATTGGTATTTAAAAGTCTACACTGCACTCAGAGTGATCCGTTTCAGTGGTCTGGGTAAGGAGCATGGTGTGAGCTCACACCTGGGGCCCTCACACTCTCCTCACTGTACCTTGTGAACTTGCCAGCCCTCTTCACCCAGTGGGAAAAGTCCGAACTCTTTCTGCAAGCGCTGGACTTGGTGGCCTCCGAACCTGCCTTCTGTTCTGTGCTGGGGCAGCACCCAGCCCCATCGTTCTTCATGTGTGTATGCGGTTGAGCCTGAAATGGCTCGAAGGGCCTGTGACCCCTGGAAACCTCTGCTGAACCTCACGCCAGGAGGGGACTTTCTGTAACACCAGCCAGACAGACGTCTAGCAGCTTGGATTTTGCAAAGCACCTTCAGAGTGCTTTGTCCAGTGTTCACACTTAAAAAAAAATTCCCAGCCCAAATTCAGGCAAGGGCCAAAAGCTCGGAGAAGACAGCCCTTCCTCAGTACTGCAGCCAGGCCCTCCATTGGACACTGGCTGGGGTCTTGAGGAAAGGGCTTCAGCCTGCCCAGAAACAGGGCTCAGGGTCTTGACAAGAGAACCAGGCCTGCAGATGGCAGTGTTCAGTGCCACGGCCTGGGGACCAGGAAGAAGGAAACCACGGGGCCTGGAGTTCTCTGCTGGTGTCCAGGTGTGCCGCAGGCTCCGTTCCAGCTCACTCATCTCAGAGTGGCGGAGCACCGCACCATCATGCACGGCAAACTCCAGGTGAGAAGCCTGGCGGCCTGAGCCCAGCTGTGAGGATGCAAGCGTCCCAGCATCTCTCCAGTTGGAGCAGCAGCGGTGCAAGGCCTGGGGTACTGCAGTAAGGCTCATCCTGGGGGCGGGGTCCCCAGCCCTGGAGGATTCAGGATCACTGAAGACTTTCAAAACTGCCCTTGGATGTGCGCCCCTCCCTCGGGACCAGGGTCTGGAAACTGCACCACACTGCAGCTTTGGAAGGCAGCCTGTTCTGAGCCAGATCTCTTGGCTGCTTGCCACAGCTTCAAACAAATCATGTGTTTAGCCAGGCACAGTGGTGCAGGCCTACAATCCAATACTCAGGGAAGCTGAGGCAGGAGGATTAAAGTTCCAGCCAGGTCCAAACTAGCCCAGCCAGGCAATTCAGTGAGACACTAGATCAAAAACTGTTTAAAAGGCTGGGGATATAGCTTAGTGTGAAAGCCCTGGGTTCAACTCTCAGTGCGGGGGGTGGGGGTCCACATGGCTCAAGACAAGGGGGCCATTATACTCTCCCCTCACTCAAAGCAGAAGAATGCAAACCACACTCGTTATAACCACAGGAGCTGAGCCCCTTGTGTTGTGCCAGGCCGGCAGAGCCCTGAGGCTCTTCCCACTCCTGGAGATGCTTCTGCTGGGAAGTCTGTGTGCAGAAAGGGATTGTGCCTGACTCCAGTGAGTGCAGGATGGTGTGGCGAACACACACAGGGTGAGAGGAGGCTTCCTGGAAGGATGGGTAAACACGAGGCCTCAAGGGCCCCTCAGGACAGAATACAGAGGGCTGTCAGCAACAAGCAGGTTCATCGTAATTTCCTCCATGAAATTTCCATAGTTTACACACACACATACACACACACATGTTCCATGTTCTAACGCCTTAGAAGTTTCCTGGTGCGAACCATGCACTCTTCCAGATGGAACTGCACCACTGGTGGCTCCCACTCAGCCTACTCAGCCTGCCTCTGTGGCAGGGTTCTGCAAGGACCACATACTGAGGCTGTGTGGTATTTTTAACCCAGCAGATCAAGTGGCTGGTCTTGGACGTGACAGCGGCCCCGTGACGATTCTGCCTGTAACTCTGTGCCAGCTTCCACAGATGAGCATGGTGCTTCTCATGTATACACAGAAACGTCAGAAGCGTCACCCTGGCCACACAGGAAAGACCTGGCCTTTTTAAGGCTTCACTGGGAACTGGGCAGGAAGGCTTGGGAAAGAAGGCCACTTGAGACACCAATGTTTCATCGTCATAAAGAGGCGGGGGCAGACTCAGAGTCCAATGAGTCAGAATAAAGGAGAGGAGAGTCTACAGAAAACTGATTTATCTAAGTCTGAAAGTCTTAAAGAATGCAGGGACTTCCCCTTTCAGTTAAAAACAAAACAAGCAAAAACAAACAAAACTATGACCAATCCTTGGATAAAATTTACAAGACTCAGGCTCAGCGAGAGGCTGCAGTGCCCCTTGGCAGGAGGACTGCCAAGCTCAGGCCAGGGGGTTAAACAGAGGCCCTGTCTCAAAATCAACCTTGAAAAGCAGCTGGAGCTCGGTGGTACAGTGCAAGTAGCACATGCTCTAGGAATAAAACCATACACAACAGCCCTTTCAGTAATTTGAATACAAACACACTGAACCTCATGCAGATCTTAGGCTGCAGGCGAACCTAATGATCAGAGGGTAAACACCAGTTATCTCCCACACAGCACTGTGTCCTTGGGGTAGCGGGAGCAGCCCCAGGCAGAATGGGGGGGCCCTGGGCTCCATCCCCAGCACACAGAGAAATTCTCAGAGTGGGCTCCATTGGGACAGAAACCTGACATGTGACTGAGGAGAGGGCACAGAGGGCGCCAGCCGTTCCCGGCTACCTCTGAGCTGAGGTCCCACCCCACCCCACCTCACCTCCACCCCCGGCCACCAAACATACCTTCCTCTTTCGGGTCACCTTGCCGGAGGTGTCTGAGCTCCTCTTCTCTGGCTCCTGCGTTTTCCCTGCAGACGGTGGCTTCTCCTCTAGCTTCCTGGGGCGGCCCCCCTTCCCAGGCAGCCGGGGTACCCTGGCGATGAGGTCGAGGGCTATCTTAACCACCAGGCTTTGGGGGGCAGGCGTGTCCCTCAGCGGCGAGAGCACCCTGCTGTTCCTCAGGGGTAGTGGTAGCGTGTCCTTACAGCCGTCCTCCTGGACAACCACAGCCTGCCGGCAGCCACTAGTCCTGCCACTGCCCTGGGCGGGGGCCTGCACCTGCGCCAGGGGGAAGAGTGCAAAGGGCTCGGGGCTCGGGGGCCCCGCACTGTCCTTGGTGGGCACCAGAGCGCAGCTCCCTGGCTGCTGTTTTTCCCTGGGGGCTGGAGGTGTGGTCCCAGGCTCCCTACTGCCCCCAGAACGCAGCCTGCCTTTCGTCTTTACCCGGGGCTTGTCTTTGCTGGTTGGGTCCTTCAGGCCACAGCCCAGCTCCTTGTCCCCCTGTGAGCTGGCCGTGGAATCTGCTGCTGGGGCTGGAGCTGAGGCCTTGGCAGGCCTCCTGGGGTGCTTGGTGCCCACCGTCTGCCGGGATGGCAGCTCCTGCTGTGCTGGGGACTTGTGATCGCCTCTCCTGCTGATGTGGGGGGCCTCGGCAGGGGCCCGGGGCACCCTGCTGCAGCTCCTTGGGGGTGGGGATTTGGGCTCGGCAGATGCCTGCCCGGTGGCGCTGTCAACGTCGTCATCCTGCCCCTGCTGGGCCCTGCGCTGCGCAGACTCTGCTGTGCTGTCTGGGCCCTCGGGCGCCAGGGCCGGCTGGCCCACCTTGCTCAGCCAGTTGTCCAGCTGCCATTTGTTGGTGGTTGGAGGCTCGGGCTGAAAGCAGGGAACAGAAGGGGTGTTATCTGAGGGACACAGGTCAGCGACACAGGTCTGTCCCCAGAGAAGTGCTCCTTTCAGCCCACCTTCCTCAAGTTGAGTGTATCTACTGGCTTTTCAAACGCGGTGGTCTGCGTTTCTGCCTTGCGGGTTTGCCATGGGATGCACTAATCAGTCATGGACAGCTGCTGGGAAGTCTCATAGCACAAATTCTCTCGGGAGTAAAAAGGGTGAAGATGTATGTACCAGCTCCCTCAATCAGAAGGAGCACTGTATCAGAGTGCTGATCAGAGTCCGCACTGTATACTGGAAAACGCGTGACCACAAAGATTCTAAAAGAGAATCCTCACTTCCAATGGAAATTACGGTACGAAACTAACAGAACTGATACATTCTGACTTGTAAAGGACCCTGGCAGAAAGTAAGGGGAATTCATTGGGGCTGGCAGCCCATTCCTACAAGCTCAGCTACTTGTGAGACTAGGACAGGAGGCTCACAAGTTCAAGGTCAGTTTGGGCAACATATGGAGACATTGTCTCTAAATAAAATAAGGAACTGGGGTGGGGCTGGGTGTGGCCCAGTGGTGTACAACTGCCTGGCACACACAACGTACGGGGTTCAATCTCAGGGCTGCAGGAGAAGGGGGAATAAAAGACTTAAAAACAAACATTCATATGTGACAAGATTATCACTGTGCCAGAAGCGCGTACTGATTTCACATTTCACCCAAGTGAAGTCAAGTCACACAGCCAAGCATTTGTCTCACTTGGATTCTATAAAGTCAGTCATTAAATTTCCCCCTCAGTATGGCTGCCCACCCGTCATTCCAGCAGTAAAGGAGGCTGAGGCAGGAGGATTACAGACAGCCTGGCTACAGAGTGAGCTCAAGGCCAGCCTGCACCACAAAGTGAGACACTCTCAAAAACAAAACAAAACAAAAGCTTCTTGCTCCAGGCATCCTGGTCTGAAACAGCACTTTGTTGCTAAGACACAAAAGCAGGCCCCAGAACACACAGGGGACAGCAGTAATTATATCCATCACCTGCTGCTCTGTCTCCTAGCCATGCACTGTGGGGCTTGTGCACAGCAGCGGAGACAGGACATTTGGACACATCAGTGCCCAGGCACTGTGTCATGTAGAAAGATACAGCTGAGTGATGGCTCGCCCCATTTTTCTCAGACCCACTCTGACAGGTGGTTTTTATGAATGACTAACTAATACCCAGGTCTGTATGAATGGCTAACTTACACAAAGCACAAGGAAGACAACTGAAAAACTTTCCTGTGGAATTTAACTACTGATTACAGATAAGGAGCCACAGACACGGAGTTGGGTTTTGTTTTGTTTTTTTTTGTCTTTTTCCTTTTTATCGGTACCAGGGATCGAACTCACCACTGCCTGCTTGCAAGACAGGCGCTTGTGCCGCTGAGCTAAATCCCCAGCCCCAATACAGAGTTGTTTTGCTGGGCTGTGGCTCAGCCCAGGGCACCCAGGATGCTAAACAGGCGCTCCATCAGTGAATGACAGCTGCAGCCCCAAGGTGTACAGATTTTAAGGGAAAGAATGCTGACAATTTTCCTGAGAAATACACCAAGTAATTTCAATCTGTAAAACCTTGCTGACCTAATTACGCAAAACAGGCAAACATTATGTAAAAGGGTTTTTGGGGATCAGTGAAAGATTAAGTAACAAAGTGACCAGGTAGGGAGTTTGATCTTAGTGTGTTCAAAATGGAACAGAACTAAAAGGAATTTAAAGAAACCAGGTAGGATCACCCTTTGGACAGGAAACTGCACCAGTGGCCTTTTCTGACTTACTCCATTCTGTTGCTTATTATGTATCTGCCTTACGGCTTCCTGTACTTCCCCCACCCTCTACCATGTCCTCTTGAATTCAGAGCAGGAGAAGCAGAAAGAAAACCATTCTACTGTGCCAGGCATTTTGTCATGCATTGGTCTGAAATGTATTCACTATTCTTATAGGACAGAATTACTAAGGGTGGAGAAGGCCAGCCCTGCACCCTCGGGTTTCAGCATCTCCTGCAGAGCCGACAGGAGGACACAGGGCATATCCCTCTGTCAGGAGCCAGACTTGTCCCACCCTTCCTCAGGCAAGGTGGCAGGGGTCTCGGCTACAGCTGCTACCGAGCTCAGAGCTGCAGCCCTCAGAAGAGCAGCCAGGGTGAGTCCCAAGGCAAAGCCCTTTCAGTGAGTCAGGGTGCTCCTCCTTCCTTGAGAAGGGTGCCTACACAGGAAACACATTTAGCAGTCCCTAAAGGAATGTCCTGATTACAGAAATAACACTTCCACGGCGGGCGGGTGAAATGTGCCGAGGAGGGACTGCAGCCCAATTTCAGGGTCAGACTAAGACTGGGCTGGGTGGCGGGGTGAGGTGGGTGGTATGCATAGGGAGGGCCAGAGATTACTCATTGGGTACTGAGATGGGGAGAGTGTTTGCATAGGGCTGGGTTAAACGATAGGGATACTCTTCAAGTAGCTAAGCTCTGGACTGGCCATGAGGGACTGGACAGGACTGAAGGCTGCTGCGTCACTGCCTCCTTTAGTCTCTGCTCTCCCTCTCCTCCCCTCCCCACTCCTGGAGTAGCTAGGATCCAGATCCTGCAGCTTCCACTTGGGGACATAGGTTTTGTCATCTGCTAAGTGTTTTAGTAGGTGTCTGACACATGTCCCTTTACCTCCTAACCATTTAAATTGGCAAAAGTTAGTTTATTTTAGAATGAATCATGGATCTGAATACTCCTAAACTTTTAGGTAGCAGAAATCTTACATGTCCCAGTTTTGAAAAGCTGAGTGACATTCTGATTGACAGGATAGCACAAACATAGAAACAAAATCCACAGGGCTGTCTCTGCTCAGCTGCAGCCCAGGGGCCAGGGTGTATCACGTTTGGGTTTCTGGGAGTCCAGGCCTACTGCACCTGCACAATGAGTCAGGCAGGGTGCTGTCACAGAAATTTCCCAGTGTGGAAAAGAGAAATGGGTGAGAACTTAATACCTGAGCTTCCTATGAAATTCACAGTACCCTTTATAAATGCAGATAGGTATTTTAAAAGGGTATCTTGAAGGTAAACGATATAACAGATGACCCCTCCTCCATAAGCCTGGATTTCCACATCAACATATCTACTCAAATCCCAGCTATTCTAGAAAAGGTAAGAGTTTAAGGGCCGAGGCTTTAGCTCAGCAGCATAAGTACCTGCCTGGAAAGCATGAAGTTGTGGGTTTGATCCCCGGAAAAAAAGAGTGTAAAAAATGGAGTAGGATAGAGCTTTATTTTATACTTAAGAAGTCTGAATCTATTCTAGTGATTTCTTGAAGGAGGAGACGTAACTGTCTCTTTACTACAAGCAGCAGATTGGGTTTCCATTTTCAATTATTCAGCCTAATTTGCACTATTCTGATTTTACTTGAGCCATATTGTTTAAAGTTTTTTAACTTTTATGTCTTTATTTATTTATGTTTTAGTCCCAGGGACTAAACTCACATCTGCAGGCGCTTGTGCCCCTGAGCTAAATCCTGGCTGAACTGTGTTGTTTACCTGAGGTATCTTTTTGTATTGATACTAATAAGAAGCATGCCCATTTTTCTTACTGAGAAAGGTAAAACAGAGCAAAGCTCTTGTAACCCTCACAGTGACCGTTACAGCTCGTCAGCATAACACGGTTAGCATCACACAAGGAGAGTCCCAGAAAGTGGGGCAGCCTGTGAGCTCTGAGGCAGCCTTGGGGTGTGGCTCCCATTGATCTAGGCCCCTGTGGACAGCAGAGCACAGCCAGCCCGGAGGGACAGCAGCTCCTCTCCCGGCCTCCTCTGCACAGGATGAAGGGAATCCGTCTCCTTCCCGCGCAGCACAGAGGAACTCAGGACACTTGCTGCACGCCTGATCCGGGAGCCTAAGTGCCTGGCCTGCTCTTGCCTGCTCTTGCCTGCTCTTGCCTGCTCTTGCCTGCTCTGCTAGCTTTTCTCGGGGCTGCTTCTGCACACGGACAGCCCTCTGCAGCGCCGCTCCCAGCAGAGCCTTACACTGCTACTCGAGTTCTGAAGAACACAGTAGTGTACGTGGCACAACTGTCCAGAGAACTCATTGCTGAGGACCTGCAGTCTGCCTCGGTGTCACCCCACAGAGCTCAGCCAGCATGCTGTCTGCCCCTCTCTGCAGAGCCTCCCAAGGGCCGGGAAAGTACCTGTTTCACATGCACAGAAGGGAGCAAGGAGAGTGCCCTGGAAAACGTCACTGTGCATTATCTCATGCTGGGCTTTGGAGGAATTCACAGCTAGATTCCTGGTGACATGTGTCTTGTCTCCTCTGCTGCCCTTAGTTCACACAACCCTGAAGTTTCAAAGTGCATTCTCATAAATATTCAAATGGCAGCCTAGGGAAAATAAGTTTTCTTTTTCAAAAGAGGGGAAAGAAAGGGAATGCACACATTCTCGAGCTGTTCTTCCAAGAGCACCAGCACCAGCAGCAGCGGTGGCAAAGGGCTCTCACTTTAAGCAGCCAGAGAAGTCTGGTGAGAGGTAAATGGAGGGCCCAGGGCAGACAGTGCCTGGGCCTGGGTTGTTCCGGGACTCGGTACCTCTGCAGCCGGCACGTCCCGGGGCTCGTTGTCCTCACTGTCACTGGAGCTGCTCTCACTCTCCGAGTCGGAGGAGCTGTCGGAGTCAGTGGTGCTCTCGGACTCCGCACTGCTGGAATGTGCTGAGGCTGCCGGCCCTGGCAGGGCGCTGCAAAACAAGCGGGAATAAAGTTAGAAGACCAGCAAAGGCAAGTTCTGCACTCTGCTCCCTGCCCCTTCTGCTCCCAGAAGGGCGGGCCTCAGCAACACCTAATCAGCGGGGCAGAGGGGCCCACTGCGGCCTCTACAGCAGTGAGACCCTAGACCAATCCCCAGCTGCTCACGGGAGCCACCTGCAGGACGTGGCTCCTGAGCATGTGAGAGACCTGCTAACCAGGGCCTGGGCTGTTTCTCTAAATACAATTTTATTGGAATAGCACCCATCCCCAGCCCCGCACAGTCCTGGAGCAGCGATGAATGGCCACAGGAGGCTGCAGTGGCCCTCAAAGGACAGCGCATTTATGGCTGGGCCCTTACATCTGCAGCCCCCACACCTATAAGCAAAGAGACAACAGTACATCATTCTTCCTGTATTTTCTGTCTGCAAACCGCCAACAGACCCTGTTCCTCTGGAAAGTGAGCTAAAAATCAACCCATCTCTCCTCACTGAGTGGAATTATGACTGTACTAGGTTTTAAGAACAGGCCAGGAACTCTAGGTCCATAGGGAAAGCATAGAAAGCATAGGGAAGTCACCACTAGGCACAAAGAGCATTTCAAAACAATCTTAAAACCTTGCCTTGGGTGCTGCCAGCTAAAACAGCAAGTTGTGAGTGTTTGTTTGTTGTTTTGAGACAAGGACTCGCTGTGTAATTCAGGCTAGCTTTGAACGCACTGTGGCCTACACTGGCCTTGAAACTCACAGCAATCCTCCTGCCTCAGCCTGTGACTGTTGCGATTACAGGCATGCACCACCATTCCAGGCATTAACTACAGTCCTGAAACCAAACCGATTTCAAATTAAATTCTTATTAACTAGCTTGCAGCATTTGAATAAAAATCAATGTCTAGGGTTCACATATAACATGTGGTGTCAATTCTGTGGCCCTGTCCACCTGGACACTGCAGCCCAAGTCAGGGTAAAAGAGGCAGACACTTTCAACTGGCTTCCTGCTTCCAACTTCTCTCTGTCCTTAGTTTGTTTTCCTTTCTGTTTTGTTTGTTGGTTTTTTTCCCCTTAGTTGGGAGGCAGGGTCTCACTATGTAGTCCAGGCTGGCCTTGAACTCTCAGCAATCCTCCTCAGTGCTGAGATTACAGCCTGTACCACCACACCCAGCTTTTCCTTTACTTTTAAACTAGACTAATTAGCCGGGTGTGGTGGTTCATGCCTGTAATTCCAACACTTAGGAGGCTGTGGCAGAAGGACTGCTCTGAGTTCAGAACCAGCCTGAGCTACAAAGTAAGCTCAAGGTCAGCCTGAACCGCATAGTGAGACCCTGTCTCAAAAATAACAACATGTAAGTGCCTGCCTGGCAAGCTTGAGGTCATGAGTTCAATCCCTGGTACCAAAAAAAGAAAAGAAAAACACCAACAAAATAAATAAATAAAAATTAGAGTAATTTGTCATTTTATGAGCTGGCATGACCTATTAGAAAGTCTAACAAATTAGGACTAAACAGAACAGTTCAGACCATAGCACTGCGGGTGCCCTCCCCTATGTCGCTCCTGTGGTGGCCAGTTTTATTGCTGTCTCAGCTCCAAATTCTGAGATGATGAACACATCTCAGAGTAGCAGAATAACTTGATCCTTTAGCCATGAAAGGCATGTATTTGTCATCTTAAATCAGTAAGTTTATTACAAGGAAATGTCAGATCATCCCCATTTTCAAAATTTTTAAAAGCATCACGTTTTTAAAACATGGCTGGTTTCTTAAAAAAAAAAAGAACAGTGTAATTTTCCTGTACATTAAAATGAACTGCAGGTCCTATTTTAAAGCAGCTAGAACAATTTGAAAACTCATGTAACTAAGAAAACCAGCACAGCTGAAATCAGTCCTACCAAGAAGTTCAGGTCTATAAAATGTTGAAAACACAGTTTTAAAACAGCACTGGGCCCCTCAGCCTGATTTTTCAAATGCTGTTTCGCAGTAACGCCAAAGACTGTGTTTTAGTATCTAAATCCTCAAACCACGCCGTGGAGGCGAGGGGCGCGCGGTATGGCCCTGGCCTCCTGAGCTGCCCTGGGCGTGCGCGCTGTCTCTGCACTGGGATCTCCCCCTCCTTCCCAGAGGAAGGCTTTTCCCCAGGTGGCAGAGGGAGAGCCCCAGACCGTACCTGGGAGGTGCCGCTGAGGAGGGAGGCTTCTCTGGGGTCTAGCCGTTCACAGTAAGGGCAGGAGGGCCAGGAAAGAACAAAGGACAGGTTAGGACACAACTCAGACCCGAGGTGGCTCCAGCAGGACTTGGGCCCCCCAAAGGTGGACTCACCTGCTCCCCGTCGCTGTCTTCACTGTCACTGAGCTGCAGGTCGTGCTCCAGCATGCTGCAATGGCAGGGGGAGGACGTCAGAGGCCGTGCTGGGATAGGAACTGAGGGGACATGGGCAGGAAGCTGATTCTCGTCCCTGAACGCCTTGCTTTCCTGGAGACGCTTTGCAGTTCTGATCACAGGCCAGCCGAGTCCCAGCCCCTCACCACCTTAAACCCGCTCCCTCCACACGTTTTGAAAAGGAAGAGAGAACCCTGGGCAGTGAGGACTACAGGAGGACAGAGAAAAGCCCGGCAGCCCACAGCCTCAGGTTGCTGCTGTCCACCGCCTCTGAGTGAACTGCAGTCACCGAGCAAACCACTTGCAACAGCACCAGGCACAGGAAAGCATCACACAGAAACAGAACGGTGGGAAAGACGCATGGACCCGTGCGACTCTCACCAGCCATGTTCCATTTCTGACCGAAGGACATCACTGATACTGAGATCTATCTTTCTGTCTGTCTTTCTTTCTTAGAGCCAGGGTCTTGCTTTGTAGGTCAGGCTGTTCTTGAATTCACTCAGTAAGTAGCCCAGGCTGGCCTTGGACTTTCGAAACCCTCCTGCCTCAGCCTCCCCAGGGCTGGGATTTTAGGCATGTGCCACCACACCCAGTTTGAGATCCAGTTTTCAAATGGAAAAAATTATTCTCTATTTTTCCTGCGTGAACACTAATCACTGGCAAGGGTATTTGGTAACTCGGTATTTGGTGTGGAGAGAGCATGTTTTAAATTTATTGCTACTGCTTCAATGAAAAAAGACTTCCTCAAATTTAGGAATGGCTATCCCCAAGGATTCTGGCCAGGTGTGGTGGTGCACACCTATAATCCCAGCCCTGGGGAGACTGAGACAGGATCATCATAAATTCAAGGCCAGTCTGGGCTACAGAGCAAGACCCTGCCTCACAGAAAACAAAACCGGTTAAACCAACATGGTCAAATGAAATCTAGTCCTTATCGAAGACATACCTAGGATGTATACACTGAACATTTCATTTAGTCACCATTTGCATTACTCACTTGATAAAGAACAAACAGATCTTGTATGACAATTATCAACACAGGTGCTGTGTTGCTGCTGACACAGCCAACAATAACCACAAAATCGCCCAGAAATCAGCTCTAGTGATGTCACCAGTGGCAGCCACTCCACATGAACTGGCCTGCCACGGAGTGGGAAAGAGACAGAAAGCCTTCCAAGTTTTGGATAAGAGTTGACACCGACGTGGACAATGGAGCCCCAGCACAGGTGCAGGACTTGGAGATCAGGAATGGCTTGAAACCAGCTGCTGAAGGCCCTGTCTGTCCCCGGGCTTAACCCTGGCAGGGCAGCACGCACATCAGGCCAGTGCAGTCACGAGACTGCATACCTCTCATCGAGGCTCAGTCCACGCTGGGGGCCACTGTGCAGGGGCAGTCTCCTTGGGAGGAGGGGGGAGCCTGCAATGTGGACCCTGCCACACTCACATGCCTCAGGCTGTGAGCATCCCTGACCCAGCGCAGGGAACAGCACTTGGTATGTCTGAGCTGGTGACATCAGCACAGGCCAGGCAGGGAGGCAGAGCCCATTCCATCTGTACCAGCCCCACGCAGATCATCGGATTCCAGGATCCACCTGGAAGAAGAGCTGACTCGAAACACAGCACCAGTGCATGATGGTATAAAGTAAATATTATGTTTTCCCTTGTAAGAATGACTTAACTTTCAAGCTTATACAATAACTGGTCAAGAAACTAATCCACTTCCTAAGCCAGACAGTCATTTCAAAACATATGGCACAATGCAGCCCACACTGGCCCTGCTCAGAAAAGCCAAGTGGCTCGGGGAAGGAAGTGAACCACCGTGGAGGGCAGGCTGTTGCTGACATAGCTGGCTGGTGGAAGTCACCAAACAACCCTCCCACTTCACCCAGATTCCTGCTCCAGGTGGCCAAGAGCGGTTGCAGGTCTCCACAGGCAGACCCGCAGGTTGCAGCAGAGGCATCGAGACCAGCCCTTACGGCCGCCTGTTCCCAGGCTGGGCCCACCCAGGGAGCACACTGCCTAGCACACTGGGGAGTTCCCAACACCTCAATGCGCAGGCCAGGAGATAGGGGGACTGACTCTGCGGCTTCACACTGCTTACAGTTGTTTTATTTGAGATGAGCAGAGGGCAAGGTCCCAGGAGACACTAGCAGCCAGTCAGTCACAGCCATCGTGCTGTGTTAGCTGCACTAAACGGCAAGGAAAGCAGTGCTCACACGGGAGAGCCCTACCTTGAACATGCACAAGCCAGTGAATAAACCTGCAGCCCTGGGCTGGGACCAACCTGGTGGTAGCAGGGAGCGTGCTGTACTTCCCAGGCTCCAACTCCTCCTGGATGTGGGGCAGCACTAAGGACAGCAAGTCCTCACGGGCAGCGACACAAATTTACACACTGGGGAGAGGACTGTGCTGAGCACAAGAAAGCCAGAGGCCGTGCGAACATTCACCGGGGCAGCAGAAAGAAGGCAAATCCAACACCAGTTGCCGCTGCCTGCAGCAGCGGTGGTCAGGAAGCCGGGCGTGGTGGTGCACGCCTATAATCCCAGCACTAGGGAGGCTGAGAGAGGAGGATCCCTGCGAGTTTGAGGCCAGCATGGGCCACAAAGTAAACTCAATATCAGACTGCACTGCATAGGGAAATGCTGCCTCAGAAAGACAAAAAATAAGGCCAGGAAGATAGCTCAGCAGCATAAAGAGGCTTTCTGGAAAGTGGAAGGTCCTGGGTTCGATTCCCGGTACCAAAGAAAAACAAAAACAGAGAAAATAGTGAAAAGACAAAAAAATTAAATTAAATTAAAAAATCAAAGAAGTCAGAGAGCTGGATGGAGAGCAAAGACAGAGCTGCTGCTGGAGATGTGAAAGATTATTTAAATCCCATAGTGAAAAGAAGATCTTGGGGTCAAATGAGAAAATGCGAAAATAAAACAAAACACAAGACTATGAATAAAGGAAAACTTGAAGTTAATCATTAAAAAAATAATATTCTAATGACACACTTTCACCAGAAACAAAATCTAGGAAAAAAATTCAGGAATCAAACTCATGACCTTGTGCTTGCCAGGCAGACACTGTGCCACTGTGCCGTTTCCCTGGACCGAGAAAGATTATTAAAGCCACGTCTGATCCTAAGGTCTACCAAGGCTCCACCAAGGCTGTGTGCAGAATCTCTCCTTCCGTGCTGACTCTGAAGCCCCCACAGAGCAGGGGTCAAGTCTTCACAGAAAGATTCCTGTTCTGAGGCACTCACCAACCTACGGGCGGGGCGGATCGAAGGCTGAGCAGCAGGCGGTTATGCGGGGCACACTGCTAAGGGCTCACCCCAGACAATGGTGGGTCCCTCATCCGGGCAGGAGAGGAAGCTGTGTTCCTCTGGAGGACACACTGATAAAACAGTGGCTAACCTAGGGATATTTTGGGAAAGTAGCACGCCCTGTGAGCTCAACTGCCCAGACAGCAAAATGCCCGAAGGCTAACTGGTCTTAGAGGGTGACAACTCATCCCTGCAATCAGATTTTCCTAAGCAAATCAACTGGAAAGTCCTCAGACCAAGGAACTCCTCCCTGAGGGCCGCATGCCTTCAGCGCTGTGACAAGTAGGGTGTCCTTCAGATCAAAAGTCACCTCCTGAGGCCTCCCTGATCTTACTCCTTGAGCATCACCAAACCCAACTGCGCCCCATCAGTGCCATCACCTTTTATGCAGCTCTCCAGAGCGCTTTATCTGATGGGCCACTGCTTGGCTGCAGCAGCAGAAGCACCGTGGGGCCCATAGCCAGCCACTCAGTAACTCCAGGGTGAATGCCTCCATGGAGGAGCAGGGAACCTCAGGACAGGGTAAGGGCTGAGAACACCATTTATCTGCACCATGCGGGAAACAGTGTGTTTAAGAACAAGGAGACTATTTTTTTTCTTCTACCATAGCTAAAACTTATTTATCACTTACTATTATGTAAAAAGCACTTGATAGATGTTTCTTCTCCATTTAATTGGCCTCCAGCTGGCCTGAGGTCAAACAGAGAAGCATGACTGCCCTACAGGGAGCTCACAGGGCCTTGCCAGTCAAGCTGGGAGTGCCCAAGGCCACGTTGAGAGGATTCTCCCTCCACCCCTGCAGCACTGCGCTGCAACTGAAGTCTGCCTCTGCAGAGGCCTCACAGAATATCCTTGGGTATGGGTGCAGGGATCTTAAGCGCACTGTCTGCTGAAGCTGGAGAACACTAATCCTGGAGTCAGCAGGCTCCGCCTCGGATCCCACAGTGCAAATAAGGAAACGCAGCCCTTCTGTGCCCGCCTGGGACTTCCAACCTCCGTGAACACCAATCTCACAGACTCTGGCGACTGGAATCCTAACTCAGGATCTCTGAACCCTTCACAGAATGGTTCCATACTTTTGTTAAAGAATAAACATTTCTCCATGTCCAATCTTAAAAATTTTCAGTTCTCCTTAGCCTGAGTATCAACTCAAGAAAGGCAGGCAAGAGGGAAGGCAGGCAGATCACTTTTTGTCTTTCATTTTGTACTTTTCTTCTTAAAAATAATTGAAAGTCCTCTTTCTAGATGCAGGCTACCAATATAATTAAGCACACCCAATAAGCCTGGAGTCTCAATCACTCACAAACTGCATCCTCTTCCTGAAAAGCCAAGCACCGAGCACTGAGAATCGTCAAGCGCGCTCTGACGGCTGGCTGCGTGTGGACCTGCAGGGGCGGAAGTGCCCAGCACACGCGCTGCTCTTAGGGCCAAGGCACAGGCTTACACCGCAGGGACAGGCTGTGAGCTTACATGCAAAGCAATTTTCACTATCAATTTTTAGGGTTTTTTTCTGTATTAACTTCCTACTATTTCTTTTTGACAGTATCAGTCAGAAAACAGCACTTTCAATTAGAGCTGTCAGTGAAATTCTAAAACTCAAGGTAAAACATCTTCAATTGGCGTAAGTTATCATTTAAAAATAAGGGAAGAAAATCATTTCCATGGGCTTAGCATGATTTACACTAACTGGCACGAGTGAGCCTCGTTTACAGACTGAATTCCAACCAGTGTTTAGCACAACCCGGCTGACACTACGCTCGATGTGAGTCTTCACACCACAGCAGTGGCACAAGAGGGTCGACCTTCCCTCTTCCCTCTTCACCAACGTACCTCAAACCCGTGGCATTCCGAGAACACTGAAAACCCAGGTTCATTTTCAAAAGTACCAGACTCATCCTGTCATTAAGAACTCTACACTGGATGCCAAGGGCTTTGTTAATGTTGTGTTCTTTCTCCTCCAACTCTAGGAACAGCCCAGCCTGCACATCCACACATTGCATTCCCAAAGCAACTTTCCACACTAGGAAGATTTCAGATTGCTATCAAAACTCATTTCTCTTTCTTATTCTGAGTAAGCACCTAGTTTCAGAGGCAAACCCCAAAAACAGATGAGTAGTTTTCCACAAGGATTTAGTGACTTTGAAGGAGAGGGGCAGAAGACTACTGACACTGACAGTGCAGATAAGCTGCATTGTTGTTTGTAAGGTATTAACAAACTGCTCTCTGGTCCCGACACACAGAAGGTGCACCTCACAATTACAGACGGGTCATGGTGTGGATGGGAAGGACACTGCATGCCCCTGAGAGTCACAGTGCCCCACGTTGGCAGGAAGGGGGTTCCGAATCCAGGAGCCCTGCCCTTCTTGGTACACCACTCCTGGACTTGGTGGCCAGCAGCACTGACATCCCAGCTGGTCAGACCTGCAGCAGGAGCCTGGGGGACAATTACCACTTACTTACAACACAGAGAGAAAAGCAGTGGACCCAGTAGGCATCCACACCAGCACCCTGCACTGCTGCTGTCCCCGTTGCTCAGCTTGGACAGATTCAGAGTTAATACAGACCTTCTGCAGCTTTTTCCTTACTGCTGGGCCCCTCTTTATTCTTTCGATGCCTATTATTTCACGTTCTAGGAATTTCTACGCAGTATTAATAATGGAAAGTAAGTTGGCACAGTGGTACACATGCAGGTGAGGCAAGAGGACTGCTGTAGGTTTGAAGTCAGCTAAGTCCAAGGCTCTCCTGAACCACAGAGGGAGACTTCATCTCAAAACACAAACCAACAAAATAATAGAACAAAAAGCCATGAAGACATAGACTAATTCTATAAACTGAAGTCCTGACTGCACCAGGCACCTCCCTGGCATGCAGCTGTCCCTGAAGCAGCTGAGCTACACAAGAAACCAGAACAGACCCTAGGGCAAATTAACCTGAGGGCTATAGAAGACTTAACAACCACTTTACAAATTAAGTGGGACACCACTGTCACCCAGGCTCTGACAATGAGCTCATTACACTAATTCCTCTCCTCAGGCACCTCCTGTCTTCCCAGCCGCAGGGTGCTCAGAGACCCTTCCCTCACAGCACGGGGATCATCACCATACTCTCCTGGACTGTCTGGGGTGACACTGACAAGCAGCTTTAGGAAGGTGGCCCTGCACCTGGGCCATGCCCAGGGTCTTCCCAGCATAGCTGTGACCCATGGGAGGGGAGAAGAGGAGGCCCAGTCTAGGCAACTTCTCTGCAAAGCACAGGCTATGGTCACAAAATAAAAATAAAGGACTAAAAATGCAGCCCAGGGGGAAGGTCCTGTGTTGGGTCCCAGTACCACCAGGAAAGAACACCCTTCAGCCTGCAATAACTCATTTTAATTAAAAGGTGGTTAGAGGTGTAGCTCTGTTGGCAGAGCGCTTGCCTAGTGTACACAAATCCTGAGTTAGATCACCAGCACCACAAACAAAACGAAACGAAACAAGAACCAGCCGCCTGCACTGTTCTTTTCAAACGAACTGCATGAAGGAGCTGGCACCCGGGCACGGAACAGTGATTTAACCTGGCCCCGCACTCTGCCGTGGCCTTTAGATAAAATGACCTCTTTGGCTCAACTAGTTTCAAAACTGAGCCCCAGTGTACCTTCCAAAATGCCCGGGACACACTGTGCCTGACACAGGAGGCTGGAGGCCGAGTACCTGGTGGGTGCACCGACCACCCCTCCAGCCAGCAGCTGCCTGGGCTGAAGAGAGGGAGGCACGCTCCCCGCTCAGTCCAGCAGGGCCGCTGTACAGGCAGAAAGGAGGAGAAAACACCAGTTCAACACCTTCAAGAAATGATCAGGGCTGAATTAGAAATCTATACCACAAAGCATAAAATGTTCCCAAAAAACAAAAATATAGCTGGACTTGCTTGGCCTTAATAAAGAACAGCTGGGCAACTGGGCCATTCCTTCTTAGAAAAAGCAGGCCAGAAACCACACCTCGTATTGTACACATTCCCCCCAAATTTATTCCTCAATGCCAAAGCTATTAAAGATTAAAAATCTAAAAATCAAGGCTTGTTTTCCATAGTTACTATGTACACAACAGCTCAAAACTACCTCTTTTCAGCAAAGGCCGTAGCACCTCTGCCGTGAAACACATGCCTTGGCTTTGAATGAACTTTACTTACGAAGTTCCTTGCTGCGAACGGGACTGGGCTTTTGGAGGTGGGTCATGTTGTCCTGTGGGGAGGGACACAGCATCAGAACTGCATGGTGACATGCGTGACTCCCTGCCCGCCCCGCCCAGCACTCAAGTTCACCTCTGCCAACCCTGGAGCCACCCGCTGTCCTGGGCAGTCCTGCCCCTCTCAGGGCACCCACCCTCTGCACACAGAATGACTCTTCTCCAGCCTGGCCTCCCAGGAGCTCTCCTCCCAGGAAGGCTCTTCTGTTCCCGGCACAGGTGAGGGGTCCCAAGGAAGGACTGAGGTGGGGCTACCCTTGCCCCACACCTGGGCAGCCCCAGGTTTCCCTGTGGCTGTCTAGCATGCTGTCCTCTCCATCCCTCCAGGTTTCTCTGTGGCTGTCTAGCCCACTGTCCTCTCTATCCCTCCTGTCACCACAGCCCCATTCACCCACTAACAGCTGTCACTGACTGCCTGGCAGAGCCTGGGACAAGACACCGTCAAAGCCCAAGAGCGCAGGGGCCACGTGACATGCAACAGCCCCCAGCAGTGTGGGCAAAGTCGGCAATCAACTGCACACTGACTGTCCTAGGAATCCGGGTACCAAAGGCAAGCAAGAGAAAGAAAACAGACTATGCTCCAAGGACAGGAGGTTTCCAGAAGGATGCAGCAGGGTCCATGGGCAGGAGTGCGGACAGCACCCACGAAGTGGGAGGGACAGAAGTGGCAGCTGGGAAGGGCAGAGCTGGGTGCAGGGTCTGGGAGGCAGCACTGAGGGGCAGGGCTGACACCAGGATGGGAACGTCCCCTCTGGCTTCTAGCAATGAGGTGCCGCCCATCACTGGCACAGGGACACAGCACAGAGGCCTGGAGTCACACTGCTGCTGCTGGCTGCAGCCCAAAGGAAGCAGGGAGTGTGAAGCACAGTGGCCACGCGATCAGTTAAAGCAGGCCTGCTGTACAGACACGAGGCCACAGAAACGGACCAGACATATGAAGCACAAGGCACCTCACAGGTAAGGCGAGTGCTCTTGCCACAAATGGCACAAGCACACCCTCTCATGCTTGCAGCTAATCGTGTCACCTCCATGCCAGCAGCAGCTCTCAGATGGTATGTGACAGTGCTTTCCCATCTGTCTGACAGGGCGCCATGACCACAAATGTCAGGCAAAGTCACCCTCTGATGGTTGCCCCCTTGGCTGGGCTCCAGGGTCCCCAGCAGCTGTGTTTTGCCAGCACGACACGAGCATGGGGCACACACGTATGACACCATGCATGGTCCCTTCTCCACAGACTCCACGGCACTTGTACCAAGAGACCCATGGTGGAAACCAGAGGCTACTTGCTGGGCAAACTCAAGGCACACACACGAATCTTCTCCTCCCCACTGAACGTCACATCATTTACACCTCACCCCCCACTTCAGCAGCAGACACCCCAACTCTTCTGCAGACCACAGGGCCACGTTCTCACAGAGATACAGTTCCCAGAACACCAGGAACTAACAGGGCAGCGATGCCAGAGGCCTGGAGTGAGCAGCAGGTGGGCCAGGACTGCAGGCTCCTGCCAGCACCTGCAAGTGCTCCTCAGGGAAGCAAGCAGGCATCGGCCCATGGGACCAAGGAGGCGATCATCCCCGATGAGCGCACCTTCAAAATCGTCTGAGGGGCTGAAGATTCTTCCTGCAGTGAGAGTTAGCATCACACCAGGCATGAACACCCTGAGGAAGGCACGAAACCCGCCTGCCTGGCAGCCCCAGGAGATGGAGGAGGAGGCAGCAAGTGTTAAGAAGAGACTGCAAGCCCCCCTGCCCATGCCAGCCTGGTCTCGTCTTCACCCTGCAACTCCCCCACGCTGGCATCTGCACCTGTGCCAGACTCCCTGCTCCACAAGCAGCTGTGGGGCTTGGCTCATCCCACCTTGGTGGTTATGCAGCACTGGTCAGGCAGACTTAGTTCTAGTCTCAGGGGTGGGGGGAGGATTTAGTTACCAGTTCCTGGCAAGACTTTATTCAGTATCTCTGGAACATGGAATGGCAGACCTCTTCTACAAAGGCAGAGAGTAAATATGGGATCTGGGTTATATGCTCTGCCTTGCAGAATCACTCAGCAGGCCTGGCCAGGGTTCAGAAGAGCTTTGCATACAGACGACAGCTGCAGGGCAGAGCTGGCTCTCACCTGGAGCTTGCTCAGCCCTGCTCTGCAGGAAGGTCTTTCTTGTTCCTTGTTTGGCTGTTTTGGCCCCATCCTCACATCCTTACAACAAAGTCATCAAGTAAAGCCAAGGAAGTGAGGGAAAAGAACGTGAAAGAGATCAGAAGGAAGAGCCCTGTCCACCAGTGACATTAGTGAGGGTCCCTCCTCCAATAACACGTACACAGCACCTGAGACCTCGCTGGGGCCTGCACCTTGCCCTGGCAACAGCTACGAGCTGCTCCACAGGGCAAGCATTCTGTTCACCTCTTGGGTGGCATTCGGACCACCACAGGGCTGCCAGTAGCCCGGCCTTCTTTAAGAGGTTCCACCGAGATGCCAATGGTTTACCAGCCTGGGGAATTACTGAGAAGACAACTCCTGTGGCCAGGCAGCCTCATGTCCTTTCGTTAGTTTTCAAGTTCTCACAATCCGTAAAAAGAAGAACTGATAAAGAGCTACAAGGCAGCAGATAGAAAGGAGCTGGAGAAGCTACGTGCTGTATTCCTTATAACAATCTCTCAGTTTTGTTTAAAAAACCCAAGAATCACACAGAACACCTCAGCCCAATCGAACAGTGTCTCTCAACTGCACACCCCTCCTGGTCACAACACTTTGCCAATCACATTCAAGATAACAATTGCAACTCAGGTAATCCCAGGGCATAGCTGTTTAGGGTGTTACCAAAGCATCTCCAGTGTAGTAACTGCCTGGATACTCTCAAACCCCTCTAGGAGACAGCTTGGTGTTTCTGTTCCTCCTCTTCTCTGCACCTAGAGAAGCTTCATGTCTGGGGGGCCTTTGTTACCAATGCTGTTACAATAAATCAATAGGAAGCACGTTTTCTTCTCCAGTGCAATAAGCAGCTCCAGACTTTTACTTACTTTGGTTTTGGGGTGCAGAACTAATATGCTGAGAATCCTAGAGGGCGAAAAAACATTCCATAATTAAAACATTAAGGCTTACAAATTAAAAGGCAAGGGCTGGGGATTTAGCTTAGCAGCATAAGCACCTGCCTTGCAAGTGCACGGTCATGAATTCAATCCCCAGTACCCCCCACCAAAAAAAATTTAAAGGCAAAACTGTAATTTTAATACTAAGATACTCTTATAGAACTCTGAAAGATAATGAAAAAAAGAAATACCAGAATCCCTGTATCACCTACCACATAGATTCTGCATTTCACTCTAAGACCCTCATACCATCTTTCTATTCAGTCATCGATCTCAATTAACCTTCACCAATAGTTTTAAAACACTCACTAACTTAATTTTTACACAACTGTGCTTTCCTAGACCTTATTTTTACTTTAGGGTGGAGTACAGATATTTCTACAGAGCTTAAGGCTTCACTTTAAAACTAGTAATAATGGCTCTTTTACAAAAGTCTCACTATGAGATAGCTAGAACAGTGACATGGTAAATCTGGGTTTATACTGACATCATTTCTTTTGGAAATAGCATCACGGAGAGGAGCAGCTACAGACACATGGGCCTGCATGGCCAGCTGGCCAGGACTGGGTCTGTTAGGGGCTATGGCTGCATCCTGAAGGTCATTCAAAAGTACACAGCAAGAAAAGAGGACTGCTTTCCACTTCCACTGCTTTCCACTGCTTTCCTGTGCCCCAGTGCTGTTACAGAAAGGCATGATTCAGCAATTCATTGCTCACTATATAAACCAGTCCTGCAATGGCTGACTACGTTAACCTTTGAAAATTTAGGAAGTATATGAGGCACACAAGATGTATGGGCACATGTGAAACCTGCAAATGGGCCACCCAACTTGCTCCGTTCTCCTGGGCCTGTTCCCCATCTCGACAGGGGGCACCGTGGCAGAGACTTCACTGTGCAGCCTAAAGGCTACCATGAGCTGTAACGCTCCACACATAGAGCCAAGAGCCCTCGTTTATGTATGCTAGAGACTCACGGGCAGTGCTCCAGAAAGCCGGCACACAGCAATACCCCACACCGAACCACCAAGTGCCAGGCCTGCTCTGCAGGGATTACCTTGGTGGGGAAAGGGAACTTGGAGGGTTCTGCTGTGCTGGGCGTGTGTATCGCTGTCAGAGGCGGTGGCCAGGAGTGGGTCATTTCCTGCAGAGAGATTTGGACAGAAAACCAACATTATTAATACCAGACTCAGGGCTGCTTAGGCTATTTCTCTAAACTGGGCATTAGGTGCATTCATGGCAAGTGAAAGGTACTATCTGAAAATTTAAGCCAGGTGTGGTGGCATACGCCTGTAATCCCAGCATTTGGGAGGCAGGTAAAAAGATTGCTGTGAGTTCAAGGCTTGCCTGGGCTCAAAATGAGTTCAAGGCCAGCCTGAACTGCATAGTGAAACCCTGTCTCAAAAAACAAAAAACTGAAAACTTATGTCAGTCACTTTACAAAAACTAATGATCACAAACTTGCAAAAAAGAAAACAAATCAGCTTGAAGAAACAGGAAGGTAGCAGACACAACACACAGGATATAAATAATGGCACTGAGAGCCAAGAGCGGGTGGGGCTCTTGCAAGCCAAGCACAGGGAATGGCAGGCAGGCAAAGATCAAGTCAGGTGTAGTGGCTCACGCCTATAATCCCAGCACTCAGGAGGCTGAGACAGGAGGGTCACTGTAAGTTCGAGGCCAGCCTGGGCTACATACTGAGTTTGCATAGCAAGACCCTGTCTCAAAAAATAACTAAAAGAAAATAAAATAAATTTCACCTAAACCAACATACTTCTTTGCTGGCTGTAAGTACCACCATCACTTACAACCTTACAAGAGGGAAATAAAGACAAAATTGTGAAAATGTTTTTTTTTTTTTTTTTTTTTCCCCGTCTTTTTGAGACAAGGTCTGGCTATGAAGTTCAGGCTGGCCTTGAGCTCACTTTGTAGCCCAGGCTAGTCTCAAACTCACAACAATCCTCTTGCCTCTGCCTCCCAGTGCTGGGATTACAGGCGTGAGCCACCACGCCTGGCTGTGAAAATGTATTTTGAGGGGAAAATTAGTATACATTAAGATTAACAGACCAGGGCCAGATACCTGTCTTCCACTTTAAACTCAAAAACTTTACAGGGAAGAATCAATAAAACTGATATGAAAGCAATTTATAAACCACAGAGGAAAGAGGAAAAATAAACACACAATGGTACACTTGCCATATCTGAGCATTAAACTCCAGATTTTGAAGCAATTAAAGGCAAAATGGGAAACATGACAGTTGATGTGGCTCTTCTCTGATAAAAATAGAGCACGTCAGTGTAAGAGGAGAGTCTGGTTTTGTGGGTATGTCCTCCCGGAACTGAATCCTAGAAGGAATCTGTGGTGTGCAAGAAACACGGAGGGGTGGGTAACATGGAGTAGTGGCACCAGCGGCCACGAACGGCCTCAGTAAACAGCCATGGGAAATCAGCCTGCAGGGCTAAGCCTAAGATGTGCTGTAACTTTCCATTCTTTTTCTTTTTGTCCCCTTAAAACGGCACAGTGCCACTGAAGAGGCTGACACACCAGCTGCCCCCGCCCTGCAAACATAGCAGGTCTAATCCAGGCGCCGGCCACTCCAGCAGTGCCAGAGGCACCTCCTCCAGGATGCAAGGGACTTCTGGGTCCTTACAGCCAACCACAGAGAAACACTAAAACTGTGGTATAGCTGCCAGGCTGCTTTTGGGCTTCCTTTTAATTAATAAAATCTGTCAGAGGATTCAGTCTCCTCTGTTACTGTCAGGGTGCATGCTGCTGCTGGAGGAGGGGGGAGCCCATTCCCAGAGCTGAGGTGGCAGCTGGCCTTAATCGGGAGGCGCACATGGGCTCGCACGTGCTTCAGACCACAGGCAGTAAGGACAACTCACCTTCAGGATCTCTTCAACACAGTGGATGTCACTCGGGTAGGTCTGCTGAAAGGGAAGAACAGGAGAATTAGGCCAGGCTGGGGTCAGATGTAGAGCAGCACAGGCGGTGCGCTGGACTCCCTCTCCAGGAGGACCTGGCCTCCTTTCTCCGGCTGAGCTCGGGGACGCTGCATTCTGGACGAGGAACACACCTGGCTGGCTCTTGGGGGAAACACAAAGGAACAGGAGCTGCAGAGGGTGGCAGACCTGCTGGGACCCACAGATGAAGTCGCTGGTAAAAATCAGCGTGTGAAATAAAGCGCACATTGGTGCACCCCAGGGAACACAGACACAGCAGAAGAGAGATTGGACCAGGGGCCACCTCCCACCGGTGAGACAGGTAAACAGTGCCAACGATGACCACCTGGAAGTGTGAATGGGCCCACGGAGCAGAGGCCCAGTACGGGAGACAGTTCTTCATTATTCTTTCATGTTCTTAACCTTCCAGCATTCAAAACTTTTTTTCTGTGGTACTGGAGATTGAACATAGACTGTCTCCTCAGTCTGTTGACTTCAGGGTCTTAGTAAATCACTAACTGATCCAACCTGGACTCAGACTTGCAACCCTCCTGCCTCAGCCTCCCACATTGCTGGGCCTGCAGGCATGTGCTATCACACCAAGCTCCAAAATTTACTTTCAAGTTGAAAGTATCCGCCACCTCACATGCACACAGGTGTATACATATGCATGCACGCATACATGCATGCACACACACAGTTTTCCCACTGGGTGAAGAGATTCCTCAGTGTCTTGGAGAAGAACCCGCGGTCCGTCTCCCTCCTGTCCCCAGCTACACACATGCTGCTGCCCCCTCCACACACAGAGCCCAGCAGTTGCCATTTGCAGTCTGCACATTTTTAAGAGCAAAGAAACAGGAAAGTTGAATCTGAAACAGCTTTTCTGCCTAGAGACATGAAACATAACCCCAAGTCTGTGTCCTCAACAGAGTGGCAACTTCTGTTCTGGGCGAACTCAGTCAGAGCGGCACAGGATGGTGAGTGCCCCCAGCACCCACCACGCAGCCTTCCCACTGCCACACGTCTGCAGAAGGCATGCTGCTGTCCTTCCGTGTCGTCCAGTGCCCGCTGCAGGGCAGGGACACAGCGGATATGGACCTTCCCTGCTCATGGCTCTCACTGAGGATATGACTTCACACAGCAGCACTTACTAATGTACGATTCTTCCTTCCATGAAAGTCTGCAACCACAGACAGGCCTCTTGGGATGTGGCTGGGCCTAAGTGTGTGACTCTGGGGTCAAGGGTGTACAATTACATCAGCCCACCAATGGTTTGCACTGTTCTGGGTGTGGATGATGGGCTCCTCCCTGGTGTGAGTGCCACCCAACCCAAGGGGCACAGCCTGGACGGAACATAAAGGACAGAAAGGATGCCTCCCTGGATGCCTGCTTCTTCGCTGCTTCACTGCCTTCTGCCCATCCTGGACAGTTTTTCCTCTGTGATGCCCCTCTGCCATGCCATTCTGCCTTGGAGCCAGCTGACTGCTGACCGAAACCTCTACAAACCATAGGCCAAATGCAACTTTCCTCCTTTAACTTGGGGTGTCAGGTATTTTGTTCCAGCAATGAGAAAAGTAAGACAAGCTCTAAGGACTAAGGAGGAGGGAAAAGCACGTAACACACACCCTGTCCTGTTACAGAATGGGATGAACACGTCTCACCTCAAACACAACTTGACCTGCCTACCTGTGGGTTTTTTTCGGTTTTTGTTTTTTATCGGTACCAGGGATCAAACTCACGACCGCCCACTTGCAAAGCAGGCACTTAAGCTGCTGAGCTAAAATCCCCAGCCCTAGGTGTGTTTTTTAAAACATATAAATTCCCTGGAAATGATTCTACAGACATTTTTTGCAGTTTGTCACTGTTGAGGTGGGGCCAGAAGTTCGGAGGTATCACTCCGTATGTTTCAAAAACATCCAAGGGTGCCTAAAAGCTGGATCAGACACCAGCACTCTATGTCTGCATAAACAACGGATACAGACAAGGATAAAATATGTATTGTGGTTTCAGTTTCTTTCATGCATTAGCAAAGAGAGAAAAAAAAAGCCCATGAGAGGCTGAAGGAGAATCAGCAGAGCACGGGAGCTCACAACAGTGCTGAGGCTAGGCAGGGTCCCTGTGCGCTCTGCTCCACGCTGCTGGACCATGAACAAGAATTCAAGCAAACATGCACCACCCCTGGAAACAGTGATGACCGAGGGGTAGAGCAGGAAAGACTGAGCCCTGCTTCAACAGAATGAAAGCGGGCAGGCAGCTGCACTCCCCAGATCCCACAGACCTCTCTTATCCTGCGCTCCCTAACCTGCATGCAGTCAAGTGAGCCAAGATTTCCCTATCACCAGGACTCCTTTATTTTTCTTTTTGGAAAAGTTTTACTCCACTGGATGAATGACAACTGAACACATTTCTCTGGAACTTCTTTTAGATTAGCAGCATTTACTTTATGCTATACTACAGTCACCACTGAATCCAGCTGGGTGGTCGATGTACTGTGCATCTTCCTGGGTCCCCTCATGGAAGCACTGGTGCTTCAGAGGGGAGAGCAAGGATTCTGTTTACTCCATGAGCACAGATCATAGTTAAGAATCCCACCAACAGTTTACCACAGCAGGACTGAGATGCCCAAACGCCCAGTGACAGGAGGCACCTGCTCACGGCAGGCAACCATACAGCAGTATGCATGCAGAGTCAGCATATAAACCTATGCACCTGCACAGAAGAATGCCTGAGACATAGACCTCCACCATGTCTCAGAAATAACTCATACTGACAGGAGAAGCACTACAGTCCTAAGAGGAAATTCAGTGAATCCTTCACCTAGATTCCCAAATGCTAGTACCTGCTTTGGTTTCCCCTCTCCTCTTTGCCTTCACAGTCACTTGCCTCATGAAGCAGCAAGAGCCCACCCCAATACCAACATTGTGTGGGCCCCTATACCCAAAGGGGGCTCCCACACAGTCTGCCTAGTACAGCCCATGCCTCCTACCCACTTGACCTCACACTCCACTTTGCTCCCTTCCCAGAGCCAGAAGGCAGACTGGAGACACCTAACAGAGCGCAGCAGGATGCAGCAAGAAGGTGAGTGAGCAAACTCTCAGCCCTAATCCCTTTCTTAGCCCTGCACTCCCAGAGTCCTCAGCTGGGTGCTGTCACCCCACTCCTGCTACCTGAGCAGGCTCCCCCTTAACACCATGGTCTTGGTACAGCTTTTCTGCAGACTTGGCATTTACAGAACAGAAGATGACCAAGAGCAAAAACCAACATCTGCATGGACGTGCGGCTCCAGGTTTGCTTGCTTTCTTTTTGAATGGCTTGAGATCTAGTTTGCTCTCACTCAGCGCTGACAAAGGTCCCACTCTTGGTCCGTGGAACAGGTGAGTGCCCCCATCTGCAGTCACACCACACTTCCAGGTCCTCCTATGGGCCTTCACAGTGACCACAACTGTACCCGGTTACTTGCCGAGCCCTTTAACTCTCTGCGTATCAGCATCTCCTCACTGTGACGGCGCTCACTGTGAAGCCAATCATTTGGTTACAAGAGAGGAAAGTTATACTAAATTATCCTTCCACCGTAACATATAACCTTTGTTACAAAAGGCTGTTAAATGAAATAAAAATTTCTCAGGGAAATCTATGTAAGGCTATTTAATATTCGTATCAACCTTTGCAACAGGCATTAGCCCCATTTTTAAGACAAAGAAGCCAGGTGTGATGATACTTGCGAAGGACCCCAGTAGTTTGAGAGGCTGAGGCATGAGGATTTCAACTGTGTTCAAGCTATGTGAACATAGCTTGGCAACTTAGTGAGAGACTGTCTCAAAATAAAAATAAAAATTAAAAAAAGGCTGGCGATACAAGTTAGTTAGAAGGCCCTGGGTTCAATCCCCAGTACTACCAAAAAATAAAGACAAAACTGAAACAACACACACAAACACACACACACCCAGAGGAGACTGGAATCAGGATATCCACAGCCACACAAAAGCTCTGCTGGTGGCCCAGCTAGTTTTAGATTCCTGTCAAACTGGCTTTCTGGAGCCCTGGAAAGGACTGCAAGAGATTAACCTATCAGCTCAGAGCGAAGTTTCCCACTTCTTCCCCCACAAAAAATCTTTGCCAGAGCTGTCAAAGATAGGACAGCGGGATTTAGCTCAGCAGCATAAGCGCCTGCCTTGCAAGCAGGCAGTCGTGAGTTCGATCCCCGGTACGGATAAAAAGAAAAAAGATAGGGCAGCAGTGATGCTCTGACTTCTCCAGGCTCTGGGGAGGACACAGCCTCATCACAAGGGAAGATATGCAATGAAAGATGCTGGCAATGCCTTCCATGCAAGCACAGCAAAGCATGCCTCCCTGAGCTAAATGAATGGAGCCAGACGCAAGAGACATGCCTGAGCCAGGAGGCCCACGCAACACTGCTTTGCAACACTGCGCTCTCAGCTCTCCAGTCTGCAGAGCATCATCTTCACTATAGGGCTGGTCTCCAAAAGGCTCAGTTATCACTAACCAGGGAGCGAGTGCACAGCGCGGTTCTGGTTCTGGTCCTAGACAAAGTGGGCACACTCACCCCTGGGATAAAGGGTTGGACTCCACAGGGCTGGTGTGAAGGGCAAATGGGAAACGAGCACCTGGAAGATGACCAAGAGCCGTCGATGCACGCGGTAACACGCTGCACCCACATTAATGACCCAGACTTTTTTTTTTTTTGTCTTTTTCCTTTTTATCGGGACCCGGGATTGAACTCACGACTGCCTGCTTGCCAGGCAGGCGCTTATGCGGCTGAGCAAAATTCCCAATCCAGACATTCTGTTTTTTAAAGACAGGGTCCCACTCTGTAGCCCAGGATGGCCTCAAACTCTTTACAATCCCTCTGCTTCAGCCTTCCAAGTGCTGGGAGTAGAGGCATACACCGCCACGCCTGGCATCAGTATTTGCTTTATGCTCACTTGCCCCCAACAAGCTAGATGAGTTGCAACTGCTTGTGCCCCACA